GCCCTACACTGATTGTCTTGTTGTCTTAAACAGATAGGTTTGCAAGTGTTTTTCTGTTTTTGCCCTTGTTCTACAATCCCAGCCTAATAGCATTATTTTTGTTCTACTAGAAGTCTTGGCTGTTGGATTTAAACGTTATATTTTGTAATCCTCCTATTGATTGACTGGAAAGGTTTTTTATCATACTTGTAATCCACCTTGATAGACTATACATGAAAATAATAATACATATATGTACATGCACTATAATGTGCATGTGAGAGGGTTAGAAATCAGGATGTTTTGAAAGAAGAGACAATTGGAGTTAATCTAAAGATGAATCTGTTTTAATAAAATTGCTAGGGTATTCAAATGACTTTTTAAAAATGGTGATGGCGTCTAACTTTATGCCCTTACTGTCAATGCATGTCCCTTTGGTAGAGTCAGAGAATATGGGAGGGGCCATATGGGAGAAGGTCCCAGGTTCAGTCCCTGGCATCTGTGCTGGGAGATACCTTTCTCTGTCTGAGCCAAGAACTGTTGTCAGAAGACAGTACTGAGACAGCCCGATCTTGTCAGATCTCAGAAGCTAAGCAGGGTCGGCCTTGGCTAGTATTTGGAAGGGCGACCTCCAAGGAATACTAGGGTCGTGACGCAAAGGCAGGCAATGGCAAACCACCTCTGAAATGTCTCTTGCTTGAAAAACAAGTTTGCCACCTAGTGGTGCATAACGCTAAAAGAACTAGAACTTCTGGCTTCCAGGTAATTTTAGGATCTCTTGGCTATCTACATACACTGCCATACTATAATTAATTAGTCCTGAGATAGAATGACTAATAAATTTGCTTGACATGAGGCAGCTTCATGTTTTTTATTTATTTCTTCATGTTATTTATAGTCTACCTACCTCACTGAGATGATCACGTATAAGTGATGTATGGCCTGCCTAGAGGGCCATGTATGTATTCATTTAGATTATCTGTCAGCTGTCTTTGCATCCAAAGATGCTCAATGTCCCGTCCTGTCAAGACACTGAATTAAGCTCTGATGCACATGGTAAGGGTAGCACTGTCTTGGTATGGTCACTGTAGCTCATCCCAGTAAGGACCCTTGCAGTTGGTTCTGCACTATCTTCAAGGATACAGCACACTACAGTAATCTCGTCTGGATTTTGCCAAGGCACGTGTGACTGAGGGAAGGTCAGCTTTTTCCAGTATTGTCCATAACCATTCCTAGAAAACGAAGGCATTATAGACAACTTTAGAATGTGTTTGTTCAAAGAGTTCCCCAAACTGTTTTCTGAAGTTCTGGAAAGTTGATCTAGAAGTCAGTTGGGAAGTGGTTGCTACAATAGAAAGATGTACCTCTTCATCTGCCTGCTGATTTGTTTCCCCCCCTTGAGCATAATGCCTTTCCGGGGTTGGGAATGTTGCATCTTTTCCTAAGATGATGCCTGCCTTGCTTCTTTCTGAAGCTCCAGAATTGCCTTTGGTGTGCTACTAACACCAGTATAGCCATTTGACAAATCAGAGAATTCTGAGATCAGAGAGTTCTGAACCAAGGCTGGAGCAGGCAAACATGATGTTAATGCAAAGTTGTTGTTGTTCAGTCGCACAGTCGAGTCCGACTCTTCGCGACCCCATGGACCAGATCACGCCAGGCCTTCCGGTCTTCCGCCGTCCTCTGAAGTTTGCTCAACTTCATGTTCGTTACATCTATGACACTGTCTAACCATCTCATCCTTTGCCATCCCCGTCTTCTTTGACCTTCAGTCTTTCCCAGCATCAGGGTCTTCTCCAGTGAGTGCTCCCTTCTCATTTGGTGGCCAAAGTATTTGAGCTTCAGTTTCATTATCTGGCCTTCCAGGGAACAGTCAGGGTTGATTTCTTTTAGGATGGACTGATTTGATCTCCTGGCAGTCCAAGGGACTCTCAAGAGTCTTCTCCAGCACCATAGTTCAAAAGAATCTATTCTTCGGCGCTCGGCCTTCCTTATAGTCCAACTCTCGCAGCCATACATGACTACTGGGAATACCATTGCTTTGACCATGCGGACTTTTGTTGGCAGGGTGATGCTGTTTAGGTTTGCCATCGCTTTCCTCCCAAGGAGCAGGCGTCTTTTAATTTCATGGCTGCTGTCACAGTCTGCAGTGATCTGGGATCCCAGGAACGTGAAGTCTGTCACTACTTCCACGACTTCCCCTTCTATTTGCCAAGGAGTGATGGGGCCGGATGCCATGATCTTAGTTTTTTTGATGTTGAGCTTCAAGCCCACTTTTGCGCTCTCCTCTTTTACCCTGAGCAAGAGGCTCTTGAGGTCCTCTTCACTTTCTGCCATTAGAGTGGTATCGTCTGCATATCTGAGGTTGTTGATCTTTTCCCCAGCAATCTTAATTCCCACTTTTGATTAATCCAGGCCAGCATTTCGCATGATGTACTCTGCTAAACCAATCAGTTGTTCCATATCCGGTTCTAACTGTCGCTTCTTGACCCTTATACAGGTTTCTCAAGAGACACGTGAGGTGGTCTGGTACTCCCATCTCTTTAAGGACCTGCCATAGTTTGTTGTGATCCACACAGTCAAAGGCTTTAGCATAGTCAATGAAGCAGAAGTAGATGTTTTTCTGGTAGAAGCACTCAATTGAAACACATAGTCCAGGCTGTAATGCTGGACTGTCAGGATCAGGCAATCAGTGGGTAGCAATTTGCTTATGGAGTCTGAATAAAGAAATTGATGGAAGAACTGACATTGCCTTTTGGGTAGGATGCAAGTTTGAGGCCAGAAAGCTTGAGATCCTTAACACTATGATACATTGTATATATTAGGTTAAAGGTAAAGGTTCCCTTGCTCGAAAGCAAAACCAAAAGCACAGAAACTTGAGAGAACTCCAGGAATGGAGCTGGTTCCTCTTCCACAGCCCAAAATGCGACCCATGAACCCTGAGCTTGATTTTTCTCATTTGCGAGTCTGGCCTCCGCACTCCTTTAACGAGGCTTGGGGCGGCGGGAGTTTCTTTGCACGCAGCTTGTGCGGCTGGCTGAGTGCCTCTTCTGCTTGGCTTCTTTCCTCCTGCTGCCTTGGCCCTCTGGTGCACGGGTGAGTCCCCAAAGTTTGACTCTTTCTTTACAAGTCTCTGGCGCTGGAGGTATTCGCCTCCTTCCCTCCTGCCTGCTATGGCTGCATAATTGTGAGAGATTTCTTAACATAGTGTTCCTGCCAGGGAAGCTGGGGACCCTGCCCATGAGTCTCCATTTCATCCTCACAACAACCCTGTGGGGTAGGTTAGGTAGAGAAGGGGAGATTTGGCCCGGGGTCACTCAGCCAGCAGAGTGAGAATACAAACCTGGGTCTCCCCATGTCAATCTGCATCTCTGACCACTGTGCAGTGCTGCCTCTACTGATCTGTAATGTTCCAGAGGTGTTGTAATGTAATACTCAGTTTCTCAAATGAGTGTATGCCTGTCTGTTGGTCCACTTAGGAGTCTTGATCCTGGTTGTGTGGTGGGCTAGTTGTGGCAAATGGTAGGGAAGCTCAGTATTTCTGTATACAGTTGTAGGGGCTTTATTGCAATGTGGTATGGCGTGATATTATGTTCTTATTCCAGTGTGGTGTGTGTGTGGGGCAATGGAAGCTGAGTGATAGGGTCTCTCCAAGTGATTGCCAGAAGTGAGATGCGTCCTGGTCTTGTGTTTTACAGATAATCTTACAAATAGTCCTTTGCATTTATATCATGCTTTCCACTTTAAAAGGATCATAACGCTGATTGTATGAACTTAGGCAAATCACCAAAGGTAGAGCAGGAAGGGTTGCATCAGTGCTTAGTTCTTGTGGCCCTTTCTTACACGCCCAGGGAAATGCTGATCGCCACTTTGGGGCCTGGAAGCAATTATTCTCCAGGCCACTTTGGCCCCCAGTGATCTTCGAGGTTTTTTAAATCATATTCTGGGCGTGGAACAGGGGTCACTGGGGTGTGTGGGGATATTGGTGAATTTCCTGCATTGTGCAGGGGGTTGGACTAGATGACCCTGGAGGTCCGTTCCCACTCTATGAGTCTATGATTCTATAATTCACCCAGGCTGGCTGTGGGCACGCCAGCACCTCTGTCAGGCAGAAGCGCCTGGAGGCGAAGGGAAGGGAGAGGGGGGAAAGAATGGATCCCAGGTGCTTCTGCCTGTCAGAGGGGCTGGTGCACACTTCCGGTGATGTCAGGGGGTGTGGCATATGCTAATAAGTTATGCTAATGAGCTCCTGCAGCTCTTTTTCTACGAAATGACCCCTACTATTTTTGATTTTACAGCAGTGGAATTTAATTCACAAAAGTCCGTGCAATAATAAATCTGTTAGTCCTAAAGATTAGTTCATTACGTTTGTTTTGGGGGTGGGGTTGCTGTAACAAATTAGCATAACTGCTCTTCTGGAATTTATAGGGTAAATGGAAGTGTATTGGTAAAGATTTTTAGTTCTGAATTTCTTTTCCCTCTCTCTTCCTTTTGCAGATCAGCTTGAACGTGTCTTCTTACGACTTGGTCATGCTGAAACAGATGAGCAATTGCAGAACATTATATCCAAATTTCTACCCCCTGTGCTTCTGAAACTTTCCAGCACACAAGAAGGAGTACGTAAGAAGGTAGGTCTTGCTACATGGTAGCATTATGTAACTTGAATGCTTATGATTTCCCTCCCCCCTCTTTTTGTGACAAGTGAGCATACCATGGCATAACTTTTTAAAGATCTTTGAAGCCCTGTATGGCCAGGGTCCGGCTTACCTAAGGGGCCGCCTTTCCCCATATGTTCCCCCAAGGGCACTACGGTCGGGGAGTCAACAACTCCTGAAGATTCCAGGCCCCAGGGATGTTAAATTTGCTGTGACCAGAGCCAGGGCATTTTCGGTGGCGGCTCCTACCTAGTGGAGGGAGCTCCTGGAGGAGATCCGGACCCTGTGGGACCTTTCTCAGTTCCGCAGGGCCTGTAAGACGGAGCTCTTCCGCCAGGCTTTTGAGTAGGAGCCGCCGCCACTACTATTCCATCATGGCAATGTATGCAGCATTACACCACTACCACCATCATGTGGTTCCATCGGGGTGCGAGGTGACCCTGGAAGGAGAAGGGATGACAGGCCATTGGAACGTTGCTGTTGGATTAAGATCTATTCCAGTTTGTGATAAATGGAGCACTGACACTTTGTTGTTTATACTATATTGTTTTGTTTTATCTTATGCTGTTTTTATCTGTTTTAACTCTGGAACTCGTGCCTCATTGTTAGCTGCCCTGAGCCTTCAGGGAGGGCGGGATATAAATCCAATAAAAAATAAATAAAATAAAGACAAACCTTTCTTTTGAACTGGTAACTTGAATTCATTTCAGAGTTCTGTTCCAGCTCAACTGAAAAAGAAAGGTAAAGATTTATTTAATTGGCTCAGGTTTTCTTTGCCTGGTATGATCATGTATGTAGGGAACAGTGACAATGAGGGCATGGGAGATATGTAAGATGTATCTCAGCTTTCACTGCTGTCTGCCTTGAAGGGGAAGGCAGTGCTCTTACTTGTGTACATGAGAGGCAGTGATAGAACTCCAGGGCTAAGGCTCCCAACTCTCAAGTTGGGAAATTCCTGGAGATTTGGGGATGGAGCCTGGGAAGGGCAGGATTTGGGGAAGCGAGGGACCTCAGCAGGGTAAGAAAGCCATAGAGTCCATCCTCCAAAGCCACCATTTTTCCCAGGGTGGCTGATCTCTGTAGTCTGGGGATCCGTGGTAATTCTGGGAGATCTCCAGGCTTCCCCTGGAGGCTAGTCAAGGACAAGAGATCACAGGACAGGCTGAACTTCGTAGGGAAACAACCGTGGTATGATAACAAAGTCGTGTTGAGGGGAAAATATATCTCCTTTAATTAACCATTAAAGTTGTTTCCTTTGAAATAAATTGGTCTCCAGTCATTCTAACGTTCTGGCGCTCAACAGACCGTTTCATTCAAAGTTTCATCAGATGAGACCTTGCACCTTTCATATTTTTTCTGCAACTTTTTTCTGCTCTTTCCTCCTTTCTAGCTTACATCATTTTTATTATATAATGGATAAAGAAGATATATTTTCCCCTAAACATGACTTCGTTATCATATCACGGTTGTTTTCCTACGAAGTTCACCTGGAGGCTGGCAACTGTCGTTGGGGCCACAGCTGGCTACCTGCATAATGCTGCAGCTGTGGGCTTCATTGTCCAGTGGTTAAGGGTGCCAGTGGTAAAGCATAGTGTATAGCAGTGGAGTCTCTATTGGCAGATAAAAGGAATGATACTTGGGTGCCATTTTGAAAAGGGTTGTATATGAAGAATTTGAGTATACAGCCATATAGGCCATATAGTATGTTTTCCATTAGCTCCTTGTGCTTCAGGATTGGGAAAGTGCAACTGAGAAATCCAGACCAGTGAAGTCAAAGGGCATATTTTTCTCCCTCTCAGGTGATGGAACTGCTAGTTCATCTAAACAAACGCATAAAAAGTCGTCCCAAAATCCAGCTTCCTGTGGAGACCTTGCTAGTCCAGTATCAAGATCCTTCTGCAGTGTCCTTTGTTACAGTAAGTGCTTCCTTTCTACAGTAAGTGCTTCCTGGAGGTTCGATATAGTGTGAAATGACATTCAAATACTTATGCCATTGGAATGGATGGAAATATATGTAATGAATGTTGTTAATGTAACACGTTTTTGCCTGTATGATTTGTCCCATTCTTCTTGGAAAGTCTTGCTGTCAAGTACAACCTAAACAGGTTTAGGAATGCTTTGTTTTAGGAGGTTAATAAATACCTAGAAAGAGTTTGGCAAGCTTATTCTCTAAACATTAAACCCTACATCTAAGTATGAGTGTAAGACTCCTTAATTTTCCTGTAAGAATGTAATTGCTCGTGACTACCTGTATTAATTTGTTTAGATTTAAAGCATTCCCATTTTGTTTTTGAAGGACTTCTCAAAAGGGTTTTCAGGAAATCAGTTTGGCTTTGACAAACCATCAAGAAAGTATATTGTAGCAGTAGTAGTATATATTGTTATGGTCAGCAACCAGAGTTGTTAAGCAACAATTAACAATATTTCCATAATACAATAAATTAAGATCCCATAAAATCAGTAAAAGGAAAAAGGCAAATACATTTTCAAATACTAAAAACCCTATATATAAAATTAATATAGTTTAATAGAATACAACAACATAACTACTTCTCCAATGAAACACATACAGATTTTGCAAATGTGGTGGACAGCCACCAAAAATGCAGGTGCTTGGTTGTTGTTTTAAATTTTATAAGGGCGGTATTCAAGGCTTTCCCAGTTAATTGCAGTGATTGTGGCATGACATATTGATAGACATGGTCTTTTAGATCTAATGGGCTGTCCATTAAGGATTTTAGCAGTAAAAACCAACACATTGAGTTGTATTTGGAAGACCCTGCAGGGTTGAAGCGCTGATATAAATGTGGTCTGGGTGATCTCCTGCCTTCAGCCTCATTTAGAGAACTTCTTAGTAGTCCACCTCAAGGTTATGAGGCTGTGAATGTTTCTTATGTACCTGGTTGGTCGTCTGGCAAATACTATGGGATCTTGAATGGCAAATACTATGGAATCTTGAATGGCATTTCTCAAAGCATGCTTTGTGATGCTTTATTAAACCTATAAAGAGATTTTTTTAAGGCTGCCCCTTTTTGACATAGATGCCATTTAGATACATTTTGTATTTTGGCAGAATTTTACGATAATATATGTTAAGATGGGTTATCCTCGTTTGCCTGTGGAAAAACAATGTGAACTGGCTCCCACTCTCCTTACTGCGATGGAAGGAAAACCTCAGCCCCAACAAGACAGGTATGATGTTCTGAGCTTTATTTTTCCTTAACACATACACAATTTTAAGTGTGCCATCTGGAAATCATTGTTTTTGTTTAACAGGCCTAATGCGGTCTCAGGCTACAAGTACATATTCAAAAAATGTGGTGTAGCCCTCTTAGGACTCTACCAGCATGGACTAACACATGTGGGATCACATGATTTGAATGTTTCTTTATAAGAACATCTATCTGCACACAGAGAACTAATTTGTCTGAAAGTAGGCGGAACTAGAATACTCTCATGCGTTTGCAGTCCGAAGTGGTACAGTACAAGGAAATTTGCACTATAGAATTAACATGGATTGGTAGATTGACACCGTAAGCCACCTTAAGTCCATCATAGGTAGCAAGGCAGGTTAAAAATGATCCAAGATGTCTGTGCAGCATTGTAAAGACTATTCTAGCATGAGCTTTCATGAATCAGAGCACACTTCTTTGTTGTCATCGTGTTTTGCTGTCAGGTCACAACTGACTTATGGTGACCCTGTAGGGTTTTCAAGGCAAGAGATGTTCAGAGGTGGTTTGCCATTTCTCTGCCTCTGTGTGACAGTGATGGTATTCCCCGGAGGTCTCCCATCCAAATGCTATCCAGGGTTGGTCCTGCTTAGCTTCTGAGATCAGATGAGATCAGGCTAGCCTGGGCTATTCAGTTCAGGGACACACTTATTTAGGTGCTATGAAATCATATTCCACAGTTTTATAGCAAGAATCTCCAAAGGGGAGGGGGAAGGGAAGAGCTGGGGAAAGAGGGCGTTTTGGTGTGAATCCTGTCAGAAACCTTTCTAGTGCAATCCTCTGCATAAGAGACTGGAATGGATTAAATTGTTACACATAATAGATGATGAGAGAGGTCATAGATTCCAGTCTCTTGATCAGGGGGTACAGATAAAGAAAAGTATATTTAAGTAGGATAAATAACCACTAATCAAGGAATAAGTAGTGTGGAGCATAAGAAAACTGAGAGACATAAATAAAAGGTTATAGTATGCTAGAACATGTTAAGAAGAGCTAATTAAAGTTTCTAAATGACCTACCTATGTTCTGTAATCCCCCCCCCCCCATGTAGATCAAGCTTCTTAAGTGTGGCTCAGAAGTTATGAGTTGCTTTCTAAAGTTTAGCATACAGTACACTTTCAGATAAGAAGGCAAACTTTCTAAGTCTAGATTTGGACCGTATATTTGTATTTACATAAAGGGATGTCAGCCAAAATAAATATTTAATTTTTAAATCTGCTGCTAAAACATTTCTGGAGGTTGCTTTTGCTTTATTATTGCCAGCTATGATAGTTATCAAGTGAAAGCTGACCTGTTGTGAGGCATTTCAAAGTCTTGCCTGGGTTTCTGTCGTTTGTCAGTGTAAAAAAATTGTCATGTCTCCTTGTTTTATTATATAGTTGCAGTAAATATAATTGTTTTTCAGCCTAATGCACCTTCTAATACCAACCCTTTTTCACATGAAATATCCTGTCGAACCTCTGAAAGCAGCTTCTCCGTTTAATCTTGCTGAAAAACCAAAGACTGTACAGCTGCTATTGGATTTTATGTTGGATGTCCTCCTTATGCCTTATGGGTAAGTAATGGTGCAACTTGGCACTTTTAGTTTCTGGTTAAGTGCTGGTGCATGACAAGGATTGTTATGCTCACACAACAGGGAGGAGAAGATTTCATTTTCAAAATTGTTCTCTGGCTACTTTATCTGCTAAAGTTCTCTAGCGAGTATTCAAACCCTAAAATTCTCTTGGAATGAGGTCAAATCCTTAAACAGTCAAGGATAAGACTTGTGTGCCTCAGGTCACTTGTAAGCCACTGGACAAATCACTTAGTGCTAATGCTTAAGAGAAGAGCCAGCATGTGGAAACTACTGCTTCTATGCAAGGGTAGTGGGTCTTCATGGTGTGTATTCATCTGGGCCTGGTTCAGACATGATAAATCTGGACAAACACGACCCAATCAGTAAACAAGTATAAAGCCAACAGTCGTGATAGTCTGGCCCAGAAATCAAACAGTCATTAAGACTTATAAGGAATTCAGATAGGACACTGATCTCAGTTAACATTCAGGCTCAAAATGCTGCTATGCTTCTAATGGATCCTGGGCGTCTCCCCTTCAAGGCAGACAGCAGTGAAAGCCTGAATGTTAACTGAGATCAGCGTCCTATCTGAATTTAGTATTTCTTAAGACTTGTTGTCTAGCACTTATGAAACAGAGAGCTTTTGCACCATTATAATATCTCCTGAAGAAGATCCATGTTTTGAAATGTTGTTCTATAATCCGGAGACGACGTTGATTATGTACCTTGGTTCAAGGATTTTCTTATGATTTGTTTATCATGTTGTAGTGCTTCAGATGGTAATACAGAGATAGCATTCCTTATAAGTCTTAATGACTGTTTGATTTGTGGGTCAGACTATCACGACTGTTGGCTTTATACTTGTTTCCTGGTTCAGACATGACATAATTAGGGCTGCCAGCCCTCGAGTAACCATAGACTTTCTCATGAATCCTAGAATGTCATGTGATGCAGCAGTTCCAGTTAGATGGTTGGAAGTGATGTCATGGGGCACTGTTTTATTCCCCCCCACCTTTCCCCTGCCACCCAGTTGAGTGGAGGCAGGGACCATGGCTGAGGATAGTTGAGCTGGCCTCCCTACTTACAGTCCTGGTTAAGGAAGAACTAGTGCTTGCTGCATAATACTTAAATGAGTCTCTGTGGTGGGCATGTGTGCACTACAAAAAGGTGAGCACATCTTGAATTAATTTTAAGTCTGTGAAGATCTAAAGAGTAAGATCTGAAGTCTGAATTGCTGGATTTCCAGATCTTATTCCAGATTGGTGCATCTAGTGTTGTCGAGCAATCATTTTGCCATGGTATCTTACTCCACAAATCTTAGCACGAATATCCACAAAATACTCACCGTTATGTTGGAAGGGATGTGGACAAACAGGTACATTTGCACATTGCTGGTGGCTATGCAACGAGGTACGCCCTTTTTGGTTGGAAATCCTAAAGAAAATAAAACAAATCCTAGACATAGAACTTACATATACTCCTGAAAATTTAATGCTAGATATCTGGCCAGAAAATATAGATCAGCATCATTATAAAAGTATATTAAAAACAATGCTTTATGCGGCGAGAACTGCAGTAGCATCAAAATGGAAGAATCCAAGCTCACCCACTATCCAGGCTCTTATGTCCATTGAAGTAAAGGGGTTTGGAAGGATGTAACTGCTTAGGATGGCCCTGCTAACCTGTTAACCAATGAAGGTTATGGTAATTGGTTTACTCTTCTATTTAAAACCTATTTGGGGGTTCCTGAGATAAATCAGTATGGAAAATTCTATTATCTTTGTGTCGGGTATACAGCATTTATAAGGAAATGGACAGTGTATATGACAAGAACTCAATAATCCCTAATTGCTTCACTCCCCTGTATTCATAATTAATAATATTCTGGATTTTATTTATTTGATTTGTATCTCACATTTCTTCTGGTAGTATTTTGGTTCTTCCCCTCTCCCATTTTATCTCCTCAACAACCCTATGTAGAAGGCTATGCTAAGCCTTAGGGACTAACCCGAAGTCACCTAGTAATTTTCATGACAGATTTGGGATTTGAAGCTACTAGTTTGGTTTCTGTCATGCTGTGGCACTACCATGGCAGGTAGCTTGAAATATGGACAGCAGATATCCACTCTGAAGAGCCATGTATGGCAAAGGTGCCCATGGGGCTTCCACCTAGTCTTATAAAGGTGCTGATTGTCATTCAGACATTGTCTGCACTGTTCCTGCTATGCCTTTCCCTTCCTCTACCCTAGGTATGTAAGACTATAAACTCCCTTTACATATTTTTGTCTCTTCCCCTCCCTGCACCTTTTCTTGCTAGATATGTATTGAATGAATCCCAGAGTCGCCAAAATGCACCATCGGGGCAGAGCTGTTCTTCTTCAAGTAGTTCTGGAGGTTCTGGGATCCCTCAGCCTCCTCCAGGGATGAGCTTCTATGCAGCCAAGCGGGTAATTGGAGACAGCCCATGGACACCTGAACAGCTGGAACAGGTAAAAAGCCAAACCTAATTATTTCATGGGTGTGTCACATGGAAGGTGTGTCTGACACTTGGTAAGAATTGCTAAATGGATGCAGCTGATTTAGCAAGCGGCAGGATTGCACACGCCCTTTTTCAGTTCCTTTCCTTGGCATGTACGTCATCATGTTCCCCCTGTCTCCTTTCATCCTGAGAAGTTACATCTGATCAGTGTTAATGGTGGTTAAACCCTGAGGGTGCTTCACACCCAGCTTTTGGAAGCTTGGCCTGCTCTCAATTCCTCAACCTTAGCTAAGGGCCAAGCACGCATTGTGTCTGCACCAGCAACAAATATGGGAAATAAGCGAGTAAATAACATTGCAGTCCTAAGCAGAGATGTATCTTTTAAGTCCATTGAAATCAATGGGGTGTAACGCCTTACGGCTGCAGTGTAAATAATTTCAAAACCTTTGCTATTGTGTAAAGCTGGCAAATGCTTTGTCGGGTGTTTAGGTATATCTTTGTTTAAAATATTACAGCATATTACAGCATTTCAGAGTGATTTTGGAGTGGAATAATTCTGCCACTACAATTTCCTTAAAATAGCAATATGTCAAGTTGTTACTAAGTGATATCCTGGCATGTTTCTTTTTGGAGTAAAATAGTTGCCAGTCCTGTTTCTATTAATTCTCTTTGTCAGAGTTAATTTCCCCATGATGACTAGAATGCCTAGCCATTCAGGGCATCTTTAGCAGGGGTCCTGAACCCTTTCCTGCAGTTAGGCACCTCTGGAATTCTGACACATGGTGGTGGGCTCAACCACAAAATGGCTGCCACAGGAGGCGGAGCCAGCCAAAAATGTCTGCTGCAGGAGGCAGAGCCAGCCACACTATGTCAGAGAGTGAGGTTATGCGTAACTGTAATAGTAACTCTTCAAGATTTCAGGCAAAAGCTCTGCTTAACAGGATGCCTTTTAAAAATATTTTCTTGCTTACACACAGCAGTGGAGGTCCTTATGCTGTGGTGGCAGCTGCTGGAAAAACAGGATTTTTTGTGTGTCTGAGCCTGCACAGCCAATCCAGTCTCCTGTGGCTAATCCAAAGCTCTTCTGGGCAGAAGCCCCACCTGGACCTGCCCACATTAAAAAAACACTTGGTGGGCACCAGAAAACTTGGGCACCCACGGGCACTACGGGGGTCTCTTGATATATAGTAGGGATATGACTTTCTGAGATGATAATGATGACTGGAGGTAGGAAATCCAGCCGAGGACCAGTAGAACCAAAGGTCTTCCTTTAGGAGACTTTTTAAAAAAATAAATAACTTTTATTTATATAATATAGCAATTAGGAGACTTTAAAAATGGATTTACATTTTCATGCACAGATTAATTTATCGTCATATTTGAGGCCAGAAAAGGATTTTCTCCTAGTCAGCATGATGTTGTGGTTAAGAGTGGTGGACTTTAATTTGGAGAACCAGGTTTGATTCCCCACTCCTTCCGCTTGCAACCAGCTGGGTGACCCTGGTCGAGTCACAGCTGTCAGAGCTCTCTCAGCCCCACCTACCTCACAAGGTACCTGTTGTAGGGAGAGGAAGGGAAGGTGATTGTAAGCCTTAGGGTACCTTAAGGTAGAGAAAAGTGGGGTATAAGATCCTGTTCTTCTTCTTGTAGGAAGTATTTTTTTTTTAGTGAGTTGGATACGGCAGAAGGTATTTTTCATAAGTCATGTAGTTATTATTGAATTCACTCTTTGAACCTACAGGCACCTCTGACATATTGCAGCTTAGTCTTTTTTATCTTTTCATAAAATTCTATAATCTGTACAAGATAAGATTAGCTTCCAAGATGCCAGAATAAAGAAAATACTTGGAAGGGCAAAGAAAGAACAAAGTGGTGGTGGTGGTGGGGGCAAGCCCTGTCTTGCACACATGAGTATTTGGGGGTGGGGGGAGTGCAGAGAGCCATGTTGGTAGTTACAAACCTAGCTCTAGCGACACTTGCACTGCCGGCAATAGTGTTCTTTCTGAGGAAGGACTTGTGGATGATTTGCCCTTTTACCGCTGTAGCACATCCAGCTATCTTTTCCTGTTCACAAATAACACCCACTAAGGGAAGACCATCAACAATTCACAACTATGTATGATCAACATTGTATATTACATTCATTAAAGTACAAGGATGGGTTAGTGGTTATTGAACTGTGCCTATGTTATTTTGGAAATTGGGTTCCGTTTTGCCAGCCGCTGTTGAAGATCATTGAAACATCTTGATTTATACGTGGGAGAGACATACAGCTGTTTTTCTTTCCACAGTGGGTGTCTTCTGCCACAGTTACTTTCTGTTTTGAGGCCTAAGGACACTATTCGTGTATGGAATTACAGAGGTGCCTACTGTTGGTTTTTGAACAAGTTCTTTTTGTAAATAATGCCTAATTATGAGCAATCTGTTAGATATGTGTTTATACATTCTATTGGGTTATGACCACTAATCCATCCTTGTACTTTAATGATGTAATATACAATTTTGATCATATATAGTGTGAGTTGTCTTCCCTTAGTGGGTGTTGTTTGTGGCTATACTTGTACGCTAAGGGTTCCCTATTGTCTTTGGCATCTTTTACTGTCCAGCCGTAGCAACTCTTGATTCTAAGAAAAAGTCTTGATCTCAGTTGATATCACTTTTAGACCTTGTCCCTTGAATGGGCTGACTGACTTTCCTACTCCTTTCTGCATTGCTGGGCAGTGTAAACTGGGCATTGTGAAGTTCATTGAAGCAGAGCAGGTGCCTGAACTTGAAGCCGTCATACACCTGGTCATTGCATCCAGTGACACGCGACACAGTGTAGCAACTGCAGCGGATCTTGAACTCAAAAGCAAGCAAAGGTAATGACTTTTAACTTTAAAACTTTGAATAGGTTGTTTTTAAAATTGAAAAGATGGATGAATTTTGAAAAACCTTCTCTCCTTACTTGTGTGTTCTTCATTTGTTGCAGTGTCATGCATTGGATATGCATTATTAGCGCATGTATATGATCCGTCTCCTTATTTCCCACCACTTTAGTAGTTTCTGTTTCCCTGTGTCGTAATAGAAGGTGTGCTTGTGTTTCTTTTAAGTTACCATGGATGGAGATGGGGCAACCTTCTGCATCTGAAGCCCTAGCAGAAACCTGCTTTTTCCACTAGACTAAAGAGAATAATAATACTAGAACAGGCATTTTCCCCTTTCCACCAACACTGTGAAGGCCCTTTCAATAGCCATGTAATCGTAGGACGGGCAAAACGCACAACCACTTCTGCTCAAAGAAGTAATGTGATATCTGGCACCGCTTTTGGAATTTTATTACATGTTGATCTGTGTTGCCCAAATTTTCCAAACCTTAATTTATCATAATAGATGAAGAACCTCTTTTGACTCTGCTGTCATTTTTTTATTCTGCTATTAGCCTGAGATGATTGTGGGGGTTTCACAGTTTAGAAAAACCTCAAGTATTTGTAAATGAGTTAAGTATTGCAGTGTGTCAACTGCAACATTTTGAAGAACTGTACTTTTTGTTTATGTTGAGGAACACTTTAAATATTATAGCATTCAAACAAATGTCAGTTCAACTCATGGGATCCTGCCTTGTTCGCTAGCCCTCTTAAGAGTATGATGCTGTTAACGCTGATGAATAATAAACACATTCAGAAGGAAAAACATAAATGGCATAAGCAGCACATTACAACGGGACTCTTAATGTATGATTAGAATGAATAGTTGTATATCTGAGCATATGAAGTGCATAGGCCAGGCCTAAAGAGTTATGCGCAGTGCATCCAAAGGTTTGGGCAGGCCCAGCGAGAGTTTTGACAAATATTTGCTTAACAGCCTTTGGGGCTGTGGCTGGAGAAATGCATGCCCAAAGTGTGCGTAGACGTACACTACCGTTTGTGTCCCGGACACTGTCTATAGTGCTCTCTTCTGCCACTTTACTGACAGTGCCATCCTTAGCAGAGTTACACCCTTCTAAGGCCATTGACTTCGATGGATATTGAATGATGTAATTCTGCTTTAGGACTGCAGCGCAAGAACAGAAAAACAATAATAGCTGATTTATCATAATAGATGAATCAGGATTAACCACAGACATTTTAATCAAACCAAGATTTTGTGTGGTATCTGAACTGAGCCCAAGAGTTATCTATTTAATTAATGCATATGCGAATTTACTGAATTACTGAGATTTAGAGCGTGAAAGAAAGCAATGCTGCACTGGCTACTAACTGGCTTTACTCACAGTCATTTAAAGTAATTAGTTCTATGACCTTACCATATGTGTTTCTTTTTAAATGGCATTTAGTTTAATTGACTGGAATAATCCAACCATCATCAGCAAGCTGTACAAAGTGTACCTCGGAGACATACCACTAAAAACCAAGGAGGTAAGGCTTGCTTCCTTTCCTCTGCATTCCTTTTTGATTTATATGAAGTTGTCTTTTGTGCTAAGACATATATTCTGTCTGTCTGTCTGTCTGTCTGACAGTTCTTGGCTTTGTTCTTTGGCTTGCTGTAATATTGGATCTTGTCCAGCTGTGGTTCTCAGAGTTACCTGCGACTCTTGCTCCCCTTCTTTCTTCTTCTCCATTTCCAGGTTACAGAGGGAAAATAATTTTAACTACAGGGGGACCTTGACTTTCTTGCTCCTCCCAGTAGCAACCATTCATGTTTGGATGGCCAGTTTGCTCTGTTCTTCCCATAGGCCAGATTTGTTTGGGTAGGCATTGTTGTAGGTGAGAGATGTCAAGGTGAAAGTTCCTGACTAAGGATAAAGATCATGCTAACTGTTAGCATTAGTCTCAACTTAAAGGTCAGTCAGGTGCCTGCAGTAAAGGTGTGTCTTAATTTAAGATCTTTGATGCAAGTAAGTGAAGTGCCATTCCATCACTACAGGACGAAGGCTAACATCACAGCAGTTCTTATTAAGAATTTGTCACATCTTTTGGTTGCTAATGAACTTAGCAACCTGATATCCTTCTGCAATGGGGCATGTATAAGGATTTGGTACATAGCCTATAAACAAACTACTGATGTTCAGTTCCACTGTTATAATAGCTGTTCACTTCCAGGCTATTTTCCAGCTCTGGCTCCAGCCTGGTGGAACATGCTTCCAATTGAGATCAGGGCCCTGTGGGATTTATTACAATTCTGCAGGGCCTGCAAAATAGAGCTGTTCCACCAGGCCTTTGGTTGAGGCGATGGATGTCTGATTGCATTGGCCTCCCCTGCCCTAAACGCAAACACAATATTGGGACTACTGAGGAAAAGCTGACCAGCTGAGACTAATTGGTGTGAATACTTCAGTTGGTACAAAAACCTGTAGCCCAATTACTAGCATGTGCAAGACAGGAAATACATGTCGCACCTGTGGAAGGGCTGTGGCTCAATGGAAAAACCTCTGCTTGGCATGCAGAAGGTACCAGGTTCAATCCCTGGCATCCCCAGTTAAAAGGACCAGGCAGTAGAACTGCTACCAGTCTGAGTTCACAGTACTAGCCTTGATGGACCAAGCATCTGATTTAGGGTTGCCAAGTGTAGATTCCTCCAGAGCGGGGGACTCCCGTCCGGCATCTGGAGCGCACGCGCCACACGCATGTCACCCGGAAGTGACGTGACGACAAAAGTGATGTCACATCCTACTCCACCCCCAAAGTCCCCATACGTACCCCAGGTCGAGCCTGGCAACCCTGGGTGGAATAGAAATTCCAAGAAATAAAATAAATAAACAAATTACTGGCTCTAAATTTTAAGCTGTGTTTTGTTTTACTGGTGACTATATTGGTTTTATTATATTTTATTTTATTAATGTTGTAAGTAGCCTTGAATATAGCTCTGTAGAGAGGTGGGATTTAAATGTTACAGATACATAAATCATCATATGATATCCAGTTAGTAAAACAACTGAATTTGTGAACATGAGTGTGTATGCATACATACAGATAAAACAGCTTCAAGTTATTAATGACAGCAGAAGCCCAAACCTGTACTTTATTATGGATAAAATAAGCTATATCTTATTTCATGCTGACATCTCTTTTATCTGTTGTGTAGTTATTTCTGCTTTAAGGCATCTCCTTAAAGACCCAGAATTCTAGTCAAATATGGTGCATTTTAAGTTAGTTTTTTGCTTCTACGTGGGTAGAATTCTGCTAAGGTACCTGGTGAATAGTTCTTCCATATTTTACCATAACCCCCTGTTTGCTTATTCCAGGGAGCTGTTTTGAAACCAGAACTGAAACGTGATCCAGTTAGCACGCGGGTTAAGTTAAAGATTGTCCCTCATCTTCTGCGTTCCAGACAAGCTGCAGAAACGTTTCCTGCAAATATTCAGGTAGTTTCTTCATTCAGAATAATGGTAGTTATCAGCTTCTCAGAACCAAATTCTGAGCTCTCTGCATTCATCTCATGGTGATACTTGGGACTAGCATAGGTTATGCAGTCTCAAATAGCGTTGTATTTGTTCAAGAGAGCATTTTAGCTACTGTACCATGGCAAAGGTACTGAATCTGTTGAATGGATCTGGGATAGAGTTAATGCTGTGAGAAACCTGTATGCAGTCTATCAACCTTAATCTCACAATTATGTGTATTGTAGTATCAATTATGGCACTTCTGGATAAGAACCTGAAATAATATTGATTATTTTTGATGAGCTTTTTTCCCCTGCTAGGTGGTTTATGATGGACTTTTTGGTGCAAACACCAATGCAAAACTGAGAACTCTGTCTCTTCAGTTTGTACATCATATCTGTGTAATGTAAGTAACTGACTATTATTTATGGCATCAAATGTTAGTTGTCAAACAATGGTTATGTAATTAACAGTGGATAACATATGACAATAAGCTAGCTAAGGTTTCCCCCCCCCCTTTTTCTTAAAAAATGTTTTCAACTAACATTGTGCCGTCAGGAAAAATAATTACAAGGTTTTCCTTTTAAATTTAGGAAAACTTAATATGAGATGAATGAAAGATAAGTGAATGAAAGATAAAATTGTTTAGGAATATATTTTAGAAAAGCCCTGAATGATTTCTTTTTGGATAACTATGTTCCTGTGACAGAAAAAAAATAAAAGGTGATCTAGGTTGATGAAATAATCTAAAGTTGTCCTTGTTGTCAGCTGTCAATATGAATTTAGTATCTAAATGATATCTTTCATTTAATGAGATTCCATTTTCAGTCCCTAGATGGTCCATACTTAGCTGGCAGAAATTAATCAATTTTATATGGGATGAACTAGGGTTGCCAGCCCCCTGTTGGAATGGGGGAACCCCCACTTCCTCAGGCTCTTGCCCGCCACTGGCCAGCTGGCTGGCAGGGGGAAATCCCACCCCCAACTGTCCTTTTGGGGGCCTACTTCCAGTTTCAGGCCCACTTCCGGGTTTTTTTTGGGGGGGGGTGACGCTCTGGTTTTTGGGCAAAACTCTATAGTAAGTTGGATTTACCATAGAGTTTTGCCCAAAAACCAGAGTGTCACCCCTGACCGGAAGTAGGCCTGAAAATGTCCAACATCACTTCCAGTCTCCCGGAAGGACATCGGGAGACCCCTGCTGGCGGGGTAAGTCAACCTGAAACCCCTATTGTAAACCTAGAGTAAAGTCACTAATGTTGCAGAAAAGAAACAATATGGGAGTGTTGCTCTTCCTAATTCATGTTTAGTTAATAATGGGGCACAGCTAATTTGGCATTACACGGGCTTTAGATATAAAGATAATCAATGGCTTTGTGTAGAGTAGCATACTAAATCAGTTGCTTTGGAAAACTTTATATGGGTGGTTCAGAAAAGACAGCAAGATTTAGTGAAGAACAGACTGTTGTTCCAGGAGCTGCTAGGTACTAGTAGGGAAATCTGGACTTTGCTACTCAGACGGGTGCCAGCCTGGCTTTGTTGCAGTGTTTTTGAAAAGATTGTGGTAAAGCAGGATTGGGGAAGATCTGTAGAAAAGGAAGACCAAAGGGATGCATGAAAGTACCAGGATGCTGTGGGGAAGAGGGGAACCCCTCCCTTCCCAATAACATACAAGCCATGCCAAATAATACGTATATAAGGAAGGGGCTAAATAGTGCATAATTTTGAATAAAAATCCTTACTCTTTCATATATTGTGTTTCAGTTGCCCAGACAGTAAGATAAAACCACTAGGCCCAATGCTTCTGAATGGGCTGACAAAACTTATTAATGAATATAAAGAGGTGAGTTCAAAGGACCTTATAAAGAATGATGGTAATTGTTGGGAAATTTATAAATTGGAAACTTGTAGACATGCATGCCTTTTTTCATGTCTGGGAACTCATTTTATATTTACTTCCAGAGAACTATTGAACTTGTAGTATCTAATACCAATAAAGATAATATGTCTTTAAAACCTTGATGCTTGTCTTCTAAGCTTTCCAAATGGCCTGTCAAGGGCACCTCTTCTGCTATCCTGTACATAATTGCCTGCACCTAACTTCCATTGAAAGCTATATTGTCTTCTGCTCCTATAAACTGGATGGCTCTCACCCATGTGTAATGTCTATAGATGCAATTCGCAAAGAGTTTCACTTAGGGTTGCCAGCCCCCAGGTGGGAGTGAGGGATCCCTCGATTTGGCGGGCCGCAATCACAATATCCCCAGTATGATAACATCACACGGAAGTGACATCATCACGCGGGGGGGAGGGCGCACAGCAATGCTCTAGTATTTTGGGGGAAACTCTATGGTCACCATAGCGTTATGCCCGCAATCCTAGAGCATCACTGTGCAGTGTCCCCAGAATGATGATGACACTTCCGCGTCATGTCATCATGCTGGGGATGTCATGCATGGTGATGTCGCCCCGCCCCCCTGCACTCCCAGAGAGCTCCCTCCCACCCCCTGCCAGGGAGCAAAGAGGACTTGGCAACCCTAGTTTCACTGTGGGAGTGTGTCTTTCCTCTCCTCTCCCATGCATTAGCACAAGCAGTTTTCCAGTCGACATGGGCACACATTGTGCATTCAGTTTCCAGATTAGCTCTGAGATATCAGTTATGTCCTCGGTTCTGTGTATGCTGAACTTTATATGAATATGTCCTATTCATATCTTGTACCCATGCATGGATTTCTGGAGCTTTTGAAGGTGGGATGGCGTGACTGCTGGACACAATGGGAAGGCATAATCTTACTCCCCCATAGTATGTACAGCAGTCAGGCAGACTACATTGTCGCCCAAGGTGAAAATCAACACGTGTTTAAAGTGAATATTAAGTTAACTGCCCTTTACCCCATGACTTGTTCTGTGATGAAGGGGCAGGATAAGCAAAGAATTGTTTCTTCCTTAAAGATTTGTCTCAGTTGCAGTTCCTTTTCTCTTATCCCATAAATTAATATATTAAGATCGCAGTATGTTTGGAGGTAAATCATGGGAGATGGCCCAGTTCCTATGTATTTCCCCAACCCAAAATCCTGGAACAAGCGTGTCCCCTCTTATTCCCTTAGAGATTTTTCAAGAGTCGCCTATTACCTCTTCAGTTCGGGTGGCCCATGCAAGCGCCTGAATTACTTCCTGGTTTATGATAATCCAGGAGAATAATCACATTCGTACACTGATTTCGTGTATCCCTTGCTAGGTGTCTGCTGTTTGCCATAGTTCCAACTTGCTGCAGAGAACTGCAGTGTTCATTCAAAGCTTTGGAATGTTGCTGCAAAACGCTGCTTGAAGCTCTTTGTTCCCTCAAGCTGCCGTCATAAGGCGATGCGCAAGTTTCTGAACTTGTCTCTGGTTTCATGCTTGCCAAGTCTCTTTTGCTTTCGTTTCTTGACAAATAAAATTTAAAAAGCGAGCAGTAGTTTTATGGCCATATGCTGTGATTCCCCCCCCCCCCATCTCTCCATGAAGAACATGAACACATCTGTTCTCACTTTCAAAGTGGTGTGCTTTAGGAGATGATTACTGTATTTTTGGAACCCGTGTGTCCCTGAAACATGTTATATTAGAAAAAAATACAGGAGGGAAGATAGAAGAACAAAATTGTCAGGAATAAGTGAGGACACATGAATAGGTAATCTTTTTCTCTCACTCTCATGACACTTTTTGCTGATCTTGTTTTCTGTACTTCAAGGACCCCAAACTGCTATCAATGGCCTATTCAGCTGTTGGAAAACTCTCTAGGTAAGACATGCATTTAAACTAATGAGATGTTGGTTGATTTCTTTCAAAGCAATTTGTCAGGAGGCAAGCAAGTTCCTTTAGCACACCAAATGGTGTAATAATGCACAGCATGTAGAGAAGATACGAGCTTTCGACAGCTTTAGAGCTGTTAATTTAAATTTGTTGGGGGTTATTTGGATGCTAGGTGTAATCTGTTTAAAAATGGGCATCGCATTTAAAAAGTGGTTTGTTCTCCATATAGTTTATAAACCTTGCCAACTAAGCAATATCAGAATGTAGCCAGTGGCGGCATGCTTAATGTGTATAGGTTTTTAACCTTCAAAAAACTATCAGATTGACCTCCATGCATCATTTTCTGGTTTTGGCTGCCTTTGGTGTATATTTGATTGTGTTGCCTCCCTCTGGTGAAGGCAAGTAATTTAGATCTAGGTTGAGTATGCTGAATTTACCAGCCTCTGATGATTTATGTCTGAAATTAAGCACCTTATTTGAACGCTAATGAAGCATAGTGGCTGAGAGACTGAGTGCGAAGCACAGAATTCAAATTTCATGCCTCTCATGAGCTTACCCTGCCTCTCAGCCTGAGTCTTCCACGTGCGATATGGGGGTAATTCTGGGCTGCTGCGCAGGGACGTTCATCAAAATTTGCATGCTCAAGAACTATCTAAATGTTAAATAATGAATAACTGTATTTTATAGAGAGGCGAACTAATTTTCAACACTCTCAGATATGTAGCTGTTCTTTTAAATGCCAACTTGTTTCATTTTAGCCGAATACCTCAACTATTCACAAAGGACCTTGCTCTAGTCCAGCAGTTTTTTGAAGCACTCTCTAAGGTGAGTGATTTGGGGGGGATCAGGAAAGTGGCCTGTTTGAAGGGATGGATGGATGCAAGATACTAACATACGTGTACTATTCCAGGAAGATCCTGATACCAGACTGGCCATTCAGGAAGCCCTGTCCATGATGGTTGGGGCTTACACCAGTTTGGAAGGAGCACCGCGTACTCTCATGGAGGCACTTGTGGCCTCAAACCTAATTAAGGTATGTCTACAGAGTAACATGAGGACTTGGTTTCTTCTTCTTTTTAAAACACATCGGTTCCCTCCATGAAGTCATGCTTTTGTTAATGGAATCTGTTTTTCTCCCATTCTAATGCGCTGTACCATTAAAGGTGTATTTGTAAATGTTCTGCTTAATAGAGTATTTAAAATTTAAAACTGGAGAGCCAGTTTGGTGTAGTGGTTAAGAGGGGCGGACTCTAATCTGGAAAAATGGGTTTGATTCCCCACTCCTTAACGTGCAGCCAGCAGGGTGACCTTGGGTCAGTCAAAGTTCTCTCAGAGTTGTTCTCTCAAGAGCAGTTCTCTCAAGAGCTCCCTCAGCCCCACCTACCTCACAGGGTGTCTGATGGTGGGGAAAGGAAGGGAAGGAGATTGTAAACTGTTCTGAGACTCCAAGTGAAGGGCTGGGTATAAATCCAATCTCTTCTTCTCTAAAAGAAGGAACACTGAAGGAGTCCATATTATCCATACTTAGTTGTGTCTCCATAGTATATTCATCATGTATGCAGATAGGTTTAAACATCACTTGTTATGAGGAAGGACAAAGTTTATGTTCCAGGGAGCTGCTTAACTTTTTTCAAGAGCCTTGGGGGATTTCCAGTCACAAAGTGGTGGCTCAGTAGGTAGTGTGAGTCACAAAATGGCAACTTGTACAAAAATCATATCTTTCCAGTGCAGGTCTGTGGTGCTCAGGTGGGGACACCTTTCCTGTGCTCTGGAGTACTAGTTTGGTGGAGAGCCAGTTTGGTGTAGTGGTTAAGTGCGCGGACTCTAATCTGGGAGAACCAGGTTTGATTCCCCACTCCTCCACTTGTACTTGCTGATGTGACCTTGGGTCAGTCACAAGCTCTGGCACAGCTGTCCTTGAAAAAGAGCAGTTCTTGAAAGCGCTCTCTCATCCCTGCCTACCTCGCAGGGTGTCTGTTGTGGGGAGGGGAAGGGAAAGGAGTTTGTAAGCCACTCTGAGACTCCTTTGGGTAGTGAACGGCAGAGTATAAATCCAATCTCCTCCTCCTCTTCCTCCTCCTCCAAACCAAACCACCACCATCACAAATTGTCCTGCAGGGGAAAAAATACACAGCTACCTTTATGTTTTCCCTGGAAGAGGCCACTGGGAGCTTTGATGCGGGGGGAAGCATCAATAGCATCCTCCTTTCCTGTCCAGAGCAAGGGTGCATGGATGCAGGTGTGAAGGAAGAGGATGAGAGGCAGATGGGAAAGAGTGGTGGTGCTGTCATTTCCCAATCCAGAGCAATGATGTGTGCATGTGGTATGAAAGAGAAAGAGGAAAGAAGCTGCTGTGTAGCTTTAAAGGAAGGATAAGAAAGTGATTACAGCAGCAGTGGAGGAGAGGTGGAGAGCTACTTTTAATGGCTTGGAGAGTGACCAGTCCCTCCTGAGTGACCTTCTGCTCAACTTGTAGAACTCCTATAACTCTTATCTCTGCTGTTTTTTAACGTTTCCGTGTATTTGGAGAGTGTGTTCCATTGTTATGTGAGGGGAAATTAAAGGTTGTACCTACCACTTCTTGTCAAAGTGAACTGGCACTTCTATTTTTTCAAATAATAACACTGGAAACAGAATAAAGCATTGAAATACAAATTACTTAAGGATTTTGTAGTGGCAACAGTGATGTGATGGCAACTCTGGCTACGATTGGTTTGGCTGTCCACCTGTCACTGGTGATCCTGTGGCTGTCACTTGCCACTTTAAAATTTGCTGGGAAAGAAGCAGAAAGGAGCAGGAGCAGCGAAAGAGATGGCAAGTTCTACTGGTAAGAGGGATCGCTGATTCCTGCTAAGGATCTGAAAGCAGCTCTGCTTAGCCTATCCAATTATAAACAGCGCATGTTTCCTGCAGCTGCCTTTTCTATTTTAAGGGCTTCTTCTGTGTTTATTTCATGCCAGTGCCTGTGTTTAAAACAGCTTTGATGTGTACGTGATAATTTCTTCCGTGTTTTTATTTTTAAGCCTCAAGTCCAAGTGCGTCAGGTGGCTGTAAAATTTGCCAGCACAGTGTTCCCTCCCGATCACATCCCTTCAAGATACTTGCTGCTTTTAGCAGCAGGAGATCCGTAAGTTTCAGAAGGTGTTTAACGTTGCATTATGGACTGGATTTAGAACACGATTGTAGTATTGCTACAGTAATGATAGAGGCATGACTTTGCTAGCCATTTAAGGACACAGCGGGGCAAAGTGAAGTTGGGGAGGGGGAAAATGATTTTTATAATTGTGCAGCATTGTGTCTTTAAGCCTTGGCTTGGGCATCACACAAAGTTACGGCTTATTTTAACCATGGATGGCTTATGAAGCCAGGATTTGGCCTGCAGACAGTCATTTCATCCTGGTTCTCCTTGACTGACCCTGGTTACGTTGTCTTTGACTTTTCCTGCACTTCCCCTGCAGAAACCTCTCCTCCTTATCACACCTCTCCTCTGCTTCCACAACTTCCATATATTTCTCATGTTCCATAACTGGCTCCCCGCCCCCCCTTCCCACAAACACCACTCACCAGCCTATGTACCAGGAATATCCTGACAAGCAAAATCTCGACGAGGGACCTATAAAGCATGAAGACCAAATGTCTTCATGGTGTCGTGGTTAAGAGTGCAGATTCTAATCTGGGAGAACTGGGTTTGATTCCCCACTCCTCCACATGCAGCTGCTGGTGTGACCTTGGGTCAGTCACAAGTTCTTCCAGAGCTGTTCTCTCAAGAGCAGTTCTCTCAGAGCTGTCTCAGCAGTTCTCTCAGAGCTGTCTCAGCTCCATCTACCTCACAGGATGTCTGTTGTGGGGAGGGGGAGGGGAAGGGATTGTAAGCTGCTCTGTGACTCCTTTGGGTAGTGAAGGGCGGGGTGTAAATCCAATTGCCTCTTCCTTTTCTTCTGCCTCCTCCTCCTTTTTCTTCTTCCTCTTCCTCCTCCTTAGTTGTAGGAGCATAAATGGTTAAACATCCAAGGCTCCATTTGGTGCTGCTCTATTTCCTTTATTATGGGTAAAGAAGGATTGTGCCAGCTTCCTGGACTTTTAATAGGAGAAAAATGAGGGTGTTGCCAGGACAGCTAGCACATGACAGCCTGGGCAGGGAGACTGCCAGCGAGAGGAGGTGAAAGGGGAGGGAGCCTTTAGTTTTGTTTGGTTCTTGCCAGTCATTTCTTGCTCATGCAGCATGAGAAATAGAGTTGGGAAACCAGCCAGCATTAAGCCAAAATGCCTGTGTTTGTATATCTTGCAAAACTATGGCAAATAGACAAGATTCCGGTTTGAAGTATCCGAACTAACTAGAGTCAGTGGGGTGACCTGTGTTTGGACAGTCAACGAACCAGTGTCAGTTTCATTAAACCATGACTTTGGTGTGATGTCTGGACTGAGCACCAGAAGACCTTGCTTTGGGGCAAACTGTGTTAACTGCAGTGCCTGTCCTACAATGTTCTGCTGGCATAGCCAAACGTATGCCATGTTGAGAACTCATTTGTTCATGCGGCAAACATGCCTATAAAGTATTCAGGTGATCCACTGATATAGTACCTGGGAATCTTTTTCATTCCTAGAAATGCAAATCAAACCTACAACAAATCTCTACCCACTAGAATATAGCAATCTAGAGTGTGTAGATAACTCTCGAAGAGGAGAGTTGGGAGAGATGCGGGATGAATGGTGGATGGCAGTATTGTGAAGCTGAACTTGGTTGCAGCTGAAGAAGAAGTTGGGTGGTGGGTGGCAGGGTTTAAGCAAGGCCTTATGGGTGGTAAGGGATCAAGCAGGTAATGGTGCTGTTAAAAAGAGGTGCTGTGGAGGAGATAAAATGTCAAATTTAGAGAACCAGAATTCTAAAGCTGAGTTTTACAGAAAACAGGCATGAAGACGGTGATTGGCAAAAAGTTTGGGAAATATTGTGGCACGGAAGTAAGGAGTTCTCTCTTCTTGTTGATATGTTGTAGTCCAGACACTATTTTTTCTGTTCTGAAATGGAAGTGCAGTAGTTTAAAAGGTCCTGTGAAACCAGAAATGGAGTACCGTTTGCCCAATTTACAAGTAGAAGGGGGACCCACATTTAAGTCAATTTCTGCAGTTTACTCCTCATCACCACCCCCTTCCTTCTGAAAACATAAGAATCCTTCTGGGTCAGACTAATCAGACCACATGTCCATCTAGTCCAGCATCCTGTTTCCAGTGATGTCCAATTCCATGATTCTGGGAAATACACAAACAGGACATCAAGGTCCTCTCCTGCTGTTAGCCCTCCTCCTTCTGGTATTTAGAGGTATACTATCCCTGAACATGGAGATTCTGTTTGATTCCATTGGCTAATAGCCACTGATAGGTATAGTCTGTTAATCTGGCCAATCTAAGGAGGTGTCCAACACTGCATGCTGTATGCAGTGAATTCCATGTGTTGTGTGAGGAAGTACTTTCATGTATCTTTTTTTGGATCTCCTTCCAGCCAAATGAAGTACTTTCTATCTTTTTTTGGATCTCCTTCCAGCCAATTTTAATTGGGTTATCCCAAATTCTAATACTGTGAGAAAAGGTGAAAAGCTTTCCCTAGGAAATGCTGGTCTAGAAATATATCTTGCTACAAAAGTGTATTAATCCCACGTATCGTGGTACAAAATTGTAGTCCTTCCACTCTGTAAATGGATTACAGGGCAAGTGGGTGGTAGGGTTGGAGTGATATTTTCTGTCTATGTGTGCACATGTACTCCATTTATTTTACTCCTGAAAGACGTGAAGAGGTGCATGGAGAGGCCCAGCGTGCACTGAGAACGTTTCCTGGTAAAAATGAAAAGGAAAGTGCTGGTAAACAGATGCCTTCCTTCCCAGAAATGGTCCAGTATATTCAAGAGAAGGTACAGAATGTTATCTTAAATTCTAACCCTGACTGTGGTTGAGTCCATGTTGTGTCTAGTCATAACAGTGTATATATCCCTGATCTCACAAAGAGATGGTCTGGCGGCTCTTGACTCAGTTCTAATCTTCAGGCCATTCAGGTCTGGTCCTGTAAGCTACCTAGATGGGAGACTGCCTTGGCAGTCTTTCAGAATAGTAGAACACAAGTTTGACAGATGAAGATATTAAGTAATGATTATATATTTTCTGGGAAAGGTACTGGTCTCAGGACTATCTTGGCAGGATACATTAATGTGTAGTTTTATATCTCTCTTTTTCTCCTTTGGGCACTGACTCATCTTTGATTATTTGCATTGCTTCCCGAAAAAGAGCCATTTTGATCTTGGGTCCTGGTTGTTTTACAGTACCATCCTTAGTGGGCCTACTCAGAATCCTGTTGAGTTCTGTCCACCAATGTTCCCTCTAAGCTGTGGTCTTGTGAGCAAAAATTCTACTTTGTGAGCTACTGGCATTAAAGTTGTGAGCGAGCAATCTGGCTACTGTATAAATTAGTTTGCTCCGGAGCCATCCTTCCTGAGCTAAGACAAAAAAGTGTGAGCCGGAGGTTAAAAAACTGTGAGCTAGCTCACACTAACTCAGCTTAGAGGGAACATTGCTGTCCAATAGGGCTTACTTCGAGGAAAGTGTTCTTTGGATTGTACTATGAATTTCCCAGCTCTGTATCTGCATTGCCCTTTCCCTGAACCGTCTCCTGGCATTTAAAAATCTTCTCAGCGCCTTCTGTTCTGAAATTTGACTGGAATCTTCAGAGAGGAGGATTATTCTGGCTGCGGCATCATGCTATGGGAATCTGTTCCCTGGGAAGTCCATGGGACTGGCTCCATGCTACTGTGGTTGTATTTTGTAAGGCATAGAACCCACTCAAAGACTTGGTCATGATGTTTTAGTGCCCATGAGATGACTTTTGCCACTGTTCCGGTAGTTGTCAGATGCTGAAAGGAGGTTTAACAGATGGTAATCCACAGAACAGGCTGGATAGGTATCCATATTGCTCTTTGCTCAGCAGACATCTTGCGGGATGACAAAACTGTAACGGATTCAACAGTCAGCTCCACAGGGACATAACCTCTGCTGACACGGGATTCTCCTAAATCTACCAGTTCTCTGCTTACAGGTGTTAAAATGGGCTAAGGAGAACAACTTGCAATAAGCCAGAACTGTAAGATAGGATAAATATGTATTGTAGGAAAGTCATTAGAAGGCACAAAACCTACATGAAATAGGCGAGCAGACTCGCTTGGCATCAGCTGCGTGAGCATTTGCCGCTCTGGCTCTTCAAACCTTTCTGTTCCTATTGCACAGGCCTTGTTATTAGAGGGAAGGAAATATATGAAACAGCACAAGGAGAAGAATCTAGGCTATATATAGCATGAAAGGCGCCAAAGGTTCTTTTAGAATTTTTATATATGTGCTTTCAACTGGTTTTAAAATGTATACATGGTTCTGATAATTTATGCCAATAAAGGCTGACTTGACTTGACTTGACTATAGCATGAAAGATAAAATAGTATTCCAAACTCTTCCTTTTACTTCCTGTGTAAACTGTGAGCATAGATTTTTAGCTGTGCAAGGTCTGAAAGCGAATTGCTTAAGGACAGGCCTAAATTCTTTCTGCTTTAAGTCAGGCCAGAACATGAAGGGTATTTAAACAGTCCTCCATTGGTGGAGGGCTGATGGTTCCCTACTTCAGCAAAATGCTGTGAGGATAATGAGAGTTTCTTACATGTGGGAAGGATTATTTGCTTCCTTGAATCCATTGAAGTTCTCAGTGGTTTTTGGCCCCTCTCCAGACCCGGTTTGCTCTCCCAACTGTTCCTTACTTGGCAGTTTTCCAACTAGCTGCTCCTTTTTAATTGCAGTAGGATTAGGGTGTATTTTTGTGTAATTGAGGTTGTCGGCAAATGGCAGTTCTGTCAGATTTGTTACTGTTTTTTTCCTTAGGCCTCTCACAGAATGAAAACTCCAGCTAAATATATGACGGGGACTACGGTCATGCCTTTCAACCCGGCTACTTTTGGAGAGGTACGTGTTATTGGCTCAGCTTGAGGGAAGTCAACCCTGAGCAGGTTTTTCTGGAATCTTCACCGATAATAAAAAATCATATGCCATTTACTACAGCCAGGGGTCGTTTCGTAGAAAAAGAGCTAGGGGAACTCATCAGCATAACTCATTAGCATATGCCACACCCCCTGCCATCACCGGAGGTCTGTCATAAGACCACACCCACCACTCAGTTAGTCTTAGTCTTAAAGGTTAGTCTTAAAGGTGCTATTTGTTAGTCTTAAAGGTGCTATTTGAACTCTTGGACTATTTTGCAGCAACAGACTAACACAGCTACCTCTGGGAAGCTCCTGGATGGGGCTGGGAGTCCTTGCGGAGGCCACGTGGAGTGGCCTCGGCCAGGCAGAGGGGGAGGACGCCAACTTACCCTCCTGCTTCTTCCTCCTTCTGCAACAGAATGAGGCTGGAAGCAGGGGGCTGCCGGAAGAAGGGGGCGGGGCTTCGTTGTGTGTCCCGCCCCCTGCACCTCACCAAGGGGAACTGCGTTCCCCCGCGTTCCCCCCCGAAATGACCTCTGACTCCAGCCATAAGTATATTTCCCCCTGTCTGTGATACAAAAGAATATTGAAGGGAGTGATGGACTTTCCCAGTATATCCATGAGTTTGTTGTTTGCCAATATCTTCTGGTCTTCACAGACAGTTCCAGAAAGTGTTTTGGATGTTGTGCTCAGGAAACCCCCCCTGAAAAATCTCCATTTCAAACACTATGGATGTGTGCAGAGTACTCACTGAGTGTTGCAGTTACTAGAAAAACAGTTAATGTGTTGCAGTGAGCCAAACTCCATTGAAAAGCAACCGGAATGAATTATGTAAATTTACACAGTTTCTCTCTATTGCATAATTTTTTAAACTGTTTTGCATCGTTATTTCCACTACGGTACTCATGGAGAAAGGCCAGGGAGCTAAAGCCTTGAAGCCCCAGTCCACAAACCATTGGAAATCTCATCCATTCATGCTCCTTACTTCCGTGATTTCACCAGGCATTGTCCAAACATTTTTATAAACCATAAGGACTAGACATTTGTATCTTTTTTGTTTTTGTTTTTTGTGTGTGCATGTGTTGAATAATGAAAGCAGGGATTGATGGGCAGCTGATTTCCATGCTGAATATAACATTCTGCCCTTATCTTGTTTTTGTACATAGTTCCGCAGTGCACACAGCCCTGTGCATGATCGAGCTGAGCCCTTTAAATTCATTTTGAATTCAACTGGACACATGGCCATGACAACACACTTGATCCACAAATTGCTTAGTACATTTAGCAACAACTAGCTCCAGCATACGGAGCAATTTAAAAATATTATCCATCTCATAATGAGGCTCTTCCTGTAATGCATAGTTTACAAAGTTGCTTTTTTAAAATGGAAACTGATTCAGTATAGAAACTAAGAAACTGGTCTATAAAATAGCAAATCCCCAGTTAAATCTTGCCTTAGCTATGCACTTACTAGGAGGTCACTCATTCTCATCTCCAGCTAGGGTTGCCAAGTCGTTGCAGTCGCTGCAGCGGGGACTCCTGGGCAGTGACTGGAGCGTGCGCGCGTGCCGCACGCACGTCACCCGGAAGTGACGTTAGGACGCCGGGCACGCTGGGGGTGGGGCCACGACCATCGGAGGGAAAACCATAGAGTTTTCCCTCTGATGGTCGTGGCCCTGTCCCCAGCATGCTCGGCGTCCTAACGTCACTTCCTGGTGACGCGCACGTCAGGGTGGGGTTCCCCCTGGTGCCTGATCCGCTGGCGGCGGGGAACGGGTCTCTAGGGCGGGGGTTTCCCCGCCCCCCGGGGGGACTTGGCAGCCCTATCTCCAGCTCCTAAACTGGAACATGCAGATAATTATACTGGTCCATCTTTCTGGGCAATTGTAACATGTACAAGGCAATGCATGTAAAGCACTGTGAACATTCTAAAGCAATACAGAGAAACAAAGACTTTTTATTGGAAATTGTTGCTTTGGGAATCAAGCCCAACCCTGTCCTACTGATGGTGAAAGATTTCCCCTGCATCTGATGAGTTGCTGCCTCACCTGTTACCTTTTTTCTTTTTTTGCTTAGATAGTCCTTTACCTCCGGATGTGTCTCGCTCACAGTGCGGGCATTGTGCCCACCTCTCAGAGCTTAGCTGATATGCAGGACCATGCTCCAGCCATCGGCCGCTATATAAGAAATCTCCTGTCTGGACATTTTATAACATCCTCGTCCTCAAAAGGTGGTGAAAGCAACCCTGTACAGATCTACATAAGTCTCCTTCAGCAGCTGCTGTCTGGTGTTGGAGGTGAGAAACCATGGGCGACAGAACTAAAAGAAAAAGCTTTCGTTTATTGATTTGATAAGACTGTCTCATGTATGAGTATTTAATATAATATTTCAAAACATAAATGCAGCTACTTTACCAGGTGTGTAGGAAGTTCTTGTCCTAAGAATACAAGAGTTACCTTGCTGAGTTTGACTAAGATCTGCTTATTTAAGTATTTTGCTCCCATTGGCCAGCTAGTTGCCTTTGGGTACTCTCAAACAGGCCATGATGTAGTTTCTAAGTTGTCTGTCCCCATCATCTGGTATTCAGAAGTAATGCTGTCTTTAATCATGGTGGTTATGTACAGCTGTCACATAAATATCCATTGCTAGACCCATCCTTTTTTCTCTAGTCCTTATAGAAAGACATCTAAACTAGTAGCCATCACCGCACACTGCGGAATTTTATGTCATAATTGTAAGAATTTCCCAACCCCATTCCATGGACAAAAAAAACACACCTTATTTGCAAGGGGACATGGGCGGGCGCCGGATGCCACCGGAAACGCGATCAGACGCCCGCCCTTGCCCCGCAGTTTCCGGAAACTAGTACCTCCGAGGTACTAGTTTTTTGCCACGCAGTTTCAGCGGGAAGCCTTGGTTGAGCCACGGGAGTGCTACGCTTCCCAGATGTGCTTGTGAGATCGCGCCCGGAAACTCCGCCTGTTTTCCGTCTCACTTGTGTGGCTTCTGTTCCGTGTGACCGCAGCCTTAGTATTTTTCTTCCATTGGCCAGCTAGTTGCCTCTGGGTACTCTCAAACAGGCCATGATGTAGTTTCTAAGTTGTCTGTCCCCATCATCTGGTATTCAGAAGTAATGCTGTCTTTAATCATGGTGGTTATGTGCAGCTGTCACATAAATATCCATTGCTAGACCCATCCTTTTTTCTCTAGTCCTTATAGAAAGACATCTAAACTAGTAGCCATCACCGCACACTGCGGAATTTTATGTCATAATTGTAAGAATTTCCCAACCCCATTCCAGATTGACCACAGGAGACAAAGAAAGGTCTCAGAAATGCTGAGTCCCCAAGAGCTCCTGGATGTGTCATTGTAGGCTGGTTTGTAGGGCCTGTTACGTGCTGGCTGGAGGGGATGGAAACTGAAGGTTAGCTGTTCTCTAGTGGTCCAGGTGGGGCAGTCTTAGCACTAGTGGGAAGAAGCTCCTCATGGAGGAAGGCAGGAATCAATTTGTGAATGCTGCTTTCCTTTTTTCCCTTTGTGAAATGTCAAAACTTCTATTCTCTCTCGAGGGGAGGAGGACACTGATATGCTTGGGTTCTTCCCACAATCCCTGGAGGCAGGAAGTTGATTGCACTTTCCATTTCGGGGGGGGGCACCCTCAGTCTTTTTCCTGCCTCTGTCTGAGGGAGCAGTGGATTTAGAGAGCTCCTAAGATTTTCCTTTAAGAAGCTCCTTTGGTTGCACTTTGTTTTCCTCCTTCCACATGTGTGCCTTTCTGTATGCCTCTCCCTTTGTTTAATCACCTTCCCCAACTCTCCCTCAGAGGAAGACCTGTGTTCTTCTGGCCTTGTCCGTCCCCCCATCCCCCCCAAGGCTGTTTGCCTTTTGCCCGCTGCTTCAGTCATCATGATATCTCTGAGCATGGGTCCTCCTCTGAGGTGATCCCCAGGCATCAGAGTAGGAAATCCCTGCAAACCCACTTGCCCTGCAATGCCACCGTGGCAGAGCTCCTGGAAAGAGCCATAGGCCAGGATCATGAAGAAGCAGGCTTGGTTTTTGGTGCCAAAACTGTGCCCTCTACTGATCAGCCGGGACGGCCTGTATCAGCCCATCAGGCCTGCTCAACACAGCTGTTTGAAGGGAGATAATCGCTCCCCACCAGGGGGGAAGCCAGGAGGGGCAAGAGCCCTTTGTTGTTCCACCAACCTCCCAGGACTGGCTAGAACTATCTGTATCCAATCAGTTAGAGAAGGAAAAAAGAGCTTCTTTACCCTACTAGAAGAGGCGTTGTGAGGCCTCTTCCCCCCCTCACTCTTCCCTCTCCAGTCAAACACCTTCTAAAAATTAGCTTCTTCAAGGCTTTTAGACACAGAGAAATGCCAGGGCTCCTCTTGGCCAATAAAGGCTGCCTGTAAAAGCACCTTCCCCATTAGGAACAATAATTCAGATTTCTCAGACTACAGATCTGAAGATAGGGATTCTCCCTTGGGCCCTGAGGTTTCTGATGCAGGTCTGGATAAAGACCAGTTGTCTGAGGACAAAGTCCCTCAGTAGAGCAAGCCAACTCACCACCTTTTTTTCTCATACGGAGCTTCCCGCTCTCTTACATAAAGCATTAAAAATCCTACGACTTTCTGCACCCTAAGGTAGGAATCCCCAAGGAGGAACAGGATGATGATGATGGTGATGATGACCCTAGGTCTTCTCTAGGGTTAGAGAGTTGGGTTCAACTTTTCCCTTCCCTTCCATTTTAAAAACAGAGATAAAAGAGGAATGGTCAGATCCTACCAATAACCATTTTCATTCTGGACAAGCTAAAAGAACGTACCCTTTTCCTCCCAAAGTAACCAGCTTACTGAAAGTTCCGGTGGTAGATGCTCATGTGGCTAGCTTAGCATCAGGGGTGGCTCTTCCAAAAGAGGGAGAGGGAACCCTTAAAGATCCCAATGATCGAAAAAGTGTCTGAACTCTCCACAGAGCCCATGAGGTCATTGCCTCTCCGTTAAAACCTCTGCTGCCACTTCTCTGATGGCAAGAGCCTCATGCATGTGGCTTCATAAATTGTCCCAAGAATACCCAGATTTAAATCAGCGCCTGTCAAGTTATATGGACAATTTGGAGAGGGCAGCAGCCTTCATGTCTGATTCTATCCTGGACACGATCAAATTCTCAGCAAGGGCCATGGCTTTCACAGTGGTAGTCAGAAGACATCTCTGGCTCAAGCAGGCCCATAGCCAGGATTTTGTGGCTTGTGGGGCAATTTTTTTTCTGGTGGGGCTGAAGTTCTCAGTGCAGAAAGAAAAGCCAATAGCCAATAGAAAGCTGTTACCAGGATAGATCTCTAAATTGCGAGCTGTCAACAACTTTAGATGAAAGTTCTCAGCTGCTGCAAGTTAATCACTTCTGCCAGCCTAAGCAGCAATTCTGATAACAAGCCGGCAGGTGGGGGTTTTGACTTCTTTAGTCAAGAAAGCTAACACTTAGGCAGAAACATTCTCTTAAAGGAGACCAGTTTCTTGACACAGAGTTAGAAGGAATCCTAGAGGTCACCTGCTCCAACCCCCTTGCTCAGTGCAGAATTAGTCAACTACAGCACCCTACTCTGCTTAAAGGAGTACATGCCTTTAAAAATGTTTTTAAATGATTGAGAAAAGCATTTACAGGAGAAATTTTTGTGGGGCTGTGTCTTTAAGAAAGGGGGCGGAGCCCCCCAAAGCCCCACCATAGCTATGGGTCTGGGCTCAAGCCCTGGAATGTGGACTCCCTTTCTAAGTCTCATGTGGCATCTTGGCCTTTCCTTATCAGCCACCGACAAATGGGTAAAAGAAATCATAACCCATGACTATTCAATAGAATTTGTCACCCCGCCTCATGACAGATTTCCAGAGCTCACCAGTCCCTCACTGTCCCATCAAGAGACAGCACACAAAGGATGCCATCGGACATCTGGTAGAGATTGCCGCCATTGAACCTGTGCCATTGCCACAAAGGTTCTTATGCATCTACTCAGTTTTTTCATAGTTCCCAAAAAGAATGGGGACTGGAGGGCTATCCTTGACCTCAAATTCCTGAACAGGTTTGTCAGGTGCAGGAAGTTCAAAATTGAGACCTTGAAGACCATTGTGGAAGCCCCACAGCCAGAGGACTTAATGGCCTCCGTCAATTAGACTGAGGCAGATTTTCACATGCCTATAACAACCCAGAACAGACAGTATCTGAGATTCACCTTCAGTCAAAACCACTTCCAGTTCAGGGCCATGCCATCTGTGCCCCGGATATTCACAAAACTGATCATCTCACTTGTTGCAAGCCTGCATCTCAAAGGAATCCATATCCATCCCTACCTTGATAACCTCCTTACAAGGTCCCCTTCACAAGAGCAGGCACTCTGGGACATTCAGTGACCACAGACCTACAGATCACAACAGGTGCCAGCCTGATGGTTGGGGGAGCCCATTGTGCACTGGGCCATGTGCCGGGGACCTGGTCCCATCAAGAAGCTTCCCTCAGCATCAGTCTTTTGGAACTGCATGCAATTCGTCTGGCATGTCTCCCCTTCCAAGACTATCTGTCTCAATTGAACATATGCATATGGACGGGCAACACCATGGCCAAGGCGCCTGTGAACTGCCAGGGATGCACCAGAGCCAAGAAGCTATAGCAGGAGTCAACTAGCCTCATGTCCTGGGCAGAACCACATCCGGCCTTTCTCAGAGCAGAACACGTCAGCAGCATAGCAGATGTTCAAGCAGATTGGCTCAGCCGCACCAGGCTGGACCAGGGGGAGTGGTCCCTCGGCCAGGAAACATTCCAGCCCCTGGTTCTACATTTCAGCCTACTGTGCATAGATCTCTTTGCCTCCCCAACCAACACTCAGATTCTTCTTGAGACGCCAGTGTCAACAAGCAGAACAAGTGGATGTTCTGATGTCCCCTTGGCCATCGGGCCTTCTTTATGCCTTTCCCCTCCATACAGGTTCTGAACAAAGTGAAGCAGGGGAAGGAAGAGTTGATTTGCCTGGCCCCATTCTGGCCCAGGAGACCTTGGTTTGTCCACCCTGCTGAAATCAACCTCCACGGGAACATCCGTTGTTGCCCAGTATTGCTAACCCAGAGTCCCATCTGTCATCCAGACCCAGCTGGACTTTGTCTCACAGGATAGAGATTGAGCAGCAAGTGGTTTCTCTGATCAGGTCATTCAGACCATGTCAACTAGCCTCATGTCCTGGGCAGAACCACATCCGGCCTTTCTCAGAGCAGAACACGTCAGCAGCATAGCAGATGTTCAAGCAGATTGGCTCAGCCGCACCAGGCTTGACCAGGGGGAGTGGTCCCTCGGCCAGGAAACATTCCAGCCCCTGGTTCTACATTTCAGCCTACTGTGCATAGATCTCTTTGCCTCCCCAACCAATGCCAACACTCAGAATCTTCTTGAGATGCCAGTGTCAACAAGCAGAACAAGTGGACGCTCTGATGTCCCCTTGGCCATCGGGCCTTCTTTAAGCCTTTCCCCTCCATACCTTTGATTCCAAAGGTTCTGAACAAAGTGAAGCAGGAGAAGGAAGAGTTGATTTGCCTGGCCCCATTCTGGCCCAGGAGACCTTGGTTTTTCCACCCTGCTGAAATCAACCTCCACGGGAACATCCGTTGTTGCCCAGTATTGCTAACCCAGAGTCCCATCTGTCATCCAGACCCAGCTGGACTTTGTCTCACAGGATAGAGATTGAGCAGCAAGTGGTTTCTCTGATCAGGTCATTCAGACCATGATGGCAGCCCGGAGAAGCTCCACTTCTAGAGTTTACAACAGTTCTTGGATGGCTTTTGTCAGATGGTGCAAGAGGAAACACCTGCAATCCAGACACCCTGGATCTTCCTCAGGTATTGTTCTTCCTACAGGATGGAGTCTTTCAGGGTCAAACAGCAGGTAGCTGCTCTTAGGTCTGTCTCCAGGTAGCTGCTCTGAGCACTGTACTGTCTTCAGTTAGCGGTGCACCACTCTCCAGGCACCCAGCGGTGAAGAGATTTCTGAAGGGCGTTACTTTGTTTCAGCCCCCTACAGCGCACAGGTTTCCTTCTTGGAGAATTCATGTCGTTCTTCAGGTTCTAACCAGTCCTGCATTTCAGCCTCTGAGGGAGGTTACCCTGAAGTTCCCTAATCTGAAGGTACTTTTCCTGGTAGCTGTTACATCAGAAATACGGGTCCCAGAGATAGGTGCTCTTTCCATCAGAAAAGGCCTATGTATCTTCCATAAAGGCATGGTGGTTCTGCGCATAGATTCCCACCTTCATTCCCAAAGGTCGACACACCTTTTCACAGCTCGCAGGAGATATATTTGCCTTCCTTCTGCCTGAAGCCGTCTTATCCTAAGGGAGAAGAATCGGCACTCACTTTGCAGAGCACTTCACATTTATATCAGAAGGACCAAGCCATTTAGAAAGCCGGATTCCCTTTTTGTGGTTTTCCATCCAGCAGTCAAAAGGCTATACTAAGGCTATACTGAGCAGGTAGCTGAAGGACTGCATCTCCTTGGCATATGAATCTCAGGGCCTTCCAAGTCCCAGAGGGGGGAATCACAGCTCAGGAGTGCTTCTACGTCATCCGCATTCAACACAAAGGCATCTGTTGCAGATATCAGGAAGACCTGGGCCTCGGTGTCAACATTTATCAGGGACTACAAGATGGACTGTTATCACCACGGCTGATGCAGCGTTTGGGCGGAGAGTCCTACAAGAAGTGGTCTAGTTCTACTGTTATCTGCATGCTTGGCAGTGTCTCAGGTATGCTTGAGCTTTGTGACATCCCAAGCGTGCCAGAGTGTCCTCCTCCTCTTGAGAGAGAACAAAACATTGGACTTACCGTGAAGGCTCCTCCTTCTCGAGGGTGAGGAGGGCACTCTGGACCCACCCTAGTTTGGAGGGTCTCTGTTCAGCCTAAAGGGTGACTGACTGCCAATCTCCATGTTAATTGTTCTTTCACTGTTCTAACAGTTTATCTTTACCTTCAGGGCTATTTTTGGGCAGGAACGCACAGGAACGGAGTTCCGGCTGGCTTCAGAGCTGGCCACGCCCACTACAGCCAAACCCTCTGCATGCCTGGCTACAGAGGGAAGGCCTGGAGAGTGACCCCCCTGGCGATTGTGAGATGGGCGGGCCAGGGGGGGCCCTGGAAGGATCAGGGAGGCATTTAAATGCCTCCTCGGCTTGTCCAAGGGCCGGCTTGCCTTCCCTTCCCTTCAAGGGGGGGCTTGCCTGGGCTCCCCGCAGCCACATGGGGTGTGGCCTAATATGCTAATGTACCGTGCGTTTGGGGGTGTGGCCTAATAGGCTAATGAGTTTCTCCTGTTGGGTGTGGCCTATTGTGCTAATGAGTTCCTGCTGGACTTTTTCTACAAAAAAAGCCCTGTTTACCTTTATGGTTTATTTCATAGGATTATGTAAACCTTGTTGTCTGTCTGTTTGTTTGGCATACACTGTGGTGTGTTATCAGCTGTGGAAGTCCCCAGACTGAGAGTGGGCTCCTCCTCCCACCCTGGAGATGGAAAGTGCAATTAATTTCCTGCCTCCAGGGATTGTGGGAAGAGGAACCCAACCGTACCAGTGTCCTCCTCGCCCTCAAGAAGAAGGAACCTTCACGGTAAGTCCAGTGTTCCGTTCCCCTCCAAAAGAAGACTCAGGACGTAACTGTATATGCAATGGTACTTTGCATTTCTATTGTACAGCATGTCTTCCATTGCCTCCAGCACTCTAGGATTTCCCCACCCCCTCTTACATCACTTCCTCTCATCACAGCGACACCGGAAGTGGCATCACTTCCAGTATCGCGGGATTTTGGCAGCTGCACCAGTCATTCTTCCATCTTTCCTGCTTTTGGGTTCTGTGTGGGTGAGTCCAGGATGGTGTGGCTTCTTCTGCCATGTAATTTTGGAGTGTCTTGTCTTCAGGGGAGGAAAAGGAGATCCAATGTGTTTGTCATTTCCTTCAACAACAAATTACAATTCTTGTTGTTGTGACGATCAAATTTTGGCATAGACTGTGTTTTGCTTATTTCAACAGTTACGCCTCTTAATTCCAATATCAAATGAATTTTGACCTTGAGATGCCAATATTTTCTGGGCTCCAGAGGTTGGTGATCCAGTTTTGCCTCTGGACTGCATTTCCCCCCCTTTGCCTGAACCAAGTGAGATGTATGTCATGAACAGAAGGATTTGGCTTGGTTTCAGCTGCTTGTTTCTTACTTCACTTGAAGGGTGTCTAAAGCATTTAGCAACAGCAGAAGTGACTTGTCAGTGCATGCAAAGTGTCATTGTTATTCAGAGTGCATCTTTTAAAGATGTTACTGCTGGGCACATTCTCCAAATAGTGTGGAAGTCTTTTTAGAGCATCATGAGTACTGAGTTGTGAAATGCTATGCATGTTGGATGTTGTAGCTGATCTTTCTGTGAGTCTCTGTATTGCCCAGTTGGGCTGCTTGGGCTTCCAAGTATCTGTCTAAAGACTTCTCTTTAGTGTCTTGAGAATCCTAGATTTCATGGCTTTTTTTGGAAGTATGTTTCTCGCCCCTGATGTTTCAGATTAAGTATGCAAATTGTTCTGATGCGGGTTTCAGTTCCAATCAGTTTCCTTATTTTTACCATATGGCTTGACTTGCAAAGTACACGTCAGCCTTAACTAAAAAACCCCACACCCTTACATAATATTTTGTACTATGTTTGGAATGTTATTGGCATGTTTGTTTTTTAGGCAAGAAATAAGATCAGATAGTTAAGGCAAAACTATTTTATTAGCAGATACCTCTGTTAGTGAGTGTACAAATTGATATTATTTCTTTCTTTTTTTTTTTAAATGTAGGTTTGCCCGTAATGTACTGCCTCCTGGAGGTTGTCTCAGTCTATCCTGAGAAACTAGCAGCAAGATTTGTAGACAAAATGGATTGGATAAAGGTAAGTTAAACAGTTATGAAAGATACGTGGCTTTATCTCAGTAAATGCTGCATTTCATTCCAACAGAACTGGTTTTTGAGAATAAAAATGATTAGAAGGGGAAAAAAAGGTTAAAATTGAATAGAGTTGCTACAGTCCAATGAAGGAGACCTGTGTGCAGGAACATGTTTCCATGTACAGCTTTTAAAACCATTATTTCAAATTTTGGTTAAACTGGAGCTCAGGTTTGCATTAACTGTAGTAGTAGTAGAATTTATTGTATTTAGATTTCGCCATTGGCCATTACAAATTTTACAAAACCATAAAATACATTAACAGATAAAAATTTTAAATCTTGGTTAAACTGGAGCCCTGGTTTGCATTAACTGTGGTTAAGGCTGGTGCTAATGTCGGGGGAAGGATGTGGGGAGGTAGTTGCTGACTAAGTTAATTATCATTAAAAGGGGATCTTTTGTAGGTCTGCACTGGCACATTATCTCTTCGTTGTGAGGTTTCTCTCTAAATTTCATAGGGATATTGTTATCAAGGTTAGACCTTGGGCTTTAAGAACACTCCTATCAGAATTTGAAAGATAATAATGGACAACTAAAAGAGATCGTGAAAATGCCTTTTAAGAATGTTGTAAACTGAAAACAGCTTTTGTGATTCAATAGTTTTAGTGTAGAACAACTAATCTATTAGATTGTCAGGGCTTGGATATTTTTGTTTTCCATGCTGTGTCTGTTGCCATTCTGCTTGCGTGTTACACAGGTGTGCTAGTGGGTCCCGTGTCACAGACATGGTAGATAGGGCTGCAGGAATTAATGATTGTGCAGAATTCTCCCATACTGTATTTTTTTCTTCTCCTACAATTAGAACGTTGGGGATGGTTGTGATGTCGTCATATCCCAAGTAGGACTGTTGGATAGTTGAATGCATCTGTTTATTCATGAAATGCTAGTCAATGTCAATGTACATTTAATACCCCCCCTCCCATTTAACCACTACAGAGTCTTATGAATACGAACAAGGAAGAAATGCGGGAGCTGGCTGCTCTATTTTATTCAGTAATTTTGACGACCGTGTCAGAGAATGAATTTAAGACATCTGTTCAGCAGCTGATAAAAACGGCTAAGGACAATCATGTAACTTCAGTTACCTTTGCTTTTTTGTTATTTTATGTTGTTTTTATTAATAATAATTTAACATGTTGGGAAAAGACAACCAAGGGGAAGAGGGGAACATGATAGAGGTTTATAAATTTACTTTTGGGCTGCAAAAAGTGGCTACAAAGAATTTCTTCTCCCATTGTACTAGAACTCAGAGGCACTCTATAAAACAGATGGGCAAATAGATTCAAGTCATGCAAAAGGAAGTGCTTCTTCAGTCAGCAAGTAATTAAATGGTGGAGTTGACTGCTCATGGACGTAGTGAGGGCTCTTACAGAAACTTGCTTGGAAAGGGGATTAGCCATATGAGTTAAGTTCAAAGTATACAGACCTCTGTTCATTCATCAAGGCTTCATAGTCATGTCCCCCCCCCAAAAAAAAGCCTTCTGCAGCTTTCAGGGTCCTTTGAATAGCTGAGGGTTGGGGGGACCTAGGGTTGCCAAGTGCGTTCTTCTTGGCGGGGGGGTCGGGGTGGGGTTTCCCCTGGGGCCCGATTCCGCGGCGGCGGAAATCTGGCCACCAAAGCGGGGGGAAGTCCGCCCCCCGGGGGGACTTGGCAGCCCTAGGGGGACCTTTGGGAACAGTGTGGGATGTAGCATGGAGCTCTGCAACTGAAAGGAGGTTCATTGGAAACTTGGGGATCCTCTTCCTCTATTCCATGAGTAGAGGGCCCTTCTTTTGGAACTATGTCTCCGTAATGATTAGAGACTGAGGAGTTGCTTTGCATTTCTTCGTTTATTTAAATGCATATCAGATATTTTGAATATATACTTCTGTTTTTGTTTGCCTTTTCCCCATTTGGCAACAGTTACTAATAATAAAACGGAACAAGTTTTGGGTGCCACCATTCAGTTATCCGTAGATTTCGCCATGGGCTATGTACAGTCCCGTAGCTAGGGATTTTTTCGAGAGGGGGCCTTGGGGAGGTACAGCTAATTATAAATCAAAGTTAATTATATTAATTCAATTTGGGGGCAGCCTGGGAGGGAGGGGGCCCAAAAGGAACACTAGGGGGCCAGGCCCCATGGGCCCCACATTAGCTACGGGCCTGGCTATGTAGATGCTTACTTAGGATTGCTGACCTAAATGAGCAAATATTTATCCTCTGTTACTGGGAAGGTATAAACATTAACCCCATTGAAGCTGGTTGGAATTCTTCCAGTTACTACATTAGCAGGGGTGCCACCGTCAAACTTGTGTACGAATTCCTTGCAGGACTACTCATACCATTCTAAATGTTGATGTTTTATGTGAACTGAATGTCCCTTCTGAGATGTTGGCTTTCTCCCTGTAGAATCTGGAAATGCAACATGGATCCTTGTTGGCTCTAGGATTCACAGTAGGACGGTATTTGTCAAAGAGGAAAGCCAGGATGGTAGAAATGCATGACCTTGACCAGCCAGACACTATTGTTGTCCCAGAGCAAGATCAGCTGATCAAGTCAACAACAGTGACTATAGGTCAGTTTGTACCTTTTTTAAAACTCTGCTTGTGTTCTGGACCCTCTCATTGATTTCATCACGGTTCTTGGAGTGAAATTTCTCTTCTGACCTTGTTCACTGCCTTCACCCCTAGTCCACATTGTTGACAGTCTTGGGAAGCCAACCGCAAAGTTCTCACAACATAGTGGTGTGCTCCTCCAGCTCATTGATTGGGACTAGTGCAATTGTTGTTTGGTGCTTTTGCACTCAGTTCTTGATCAGAGTTTCCTATTCGTTGTGTATGTTACATTACATTACATTATACTTTCAACTTATATACCGCTCCTTCCTGGGGGCTCGTAGCGGTTTACAGAGACATTTAAATCATCCTGACTAGGGCCACAGTGCAGGGGGAGGGGTGAATGCCTACCAGGCACCCGAACAGCAAGGTTCTTTCCATGGTGGGTTCTTTCCATTTTCAAGGCGACGGTATCTCGGCGGAGATCTTTTTCCGCAGCGACTCCTTCTGGAGTGGGCCTCACGGCACACGACTATGTCCTTATGCTAGATTTCTCTAGCTTCATAACATGAAAATACATCTAACAGATAAGTGTTCCAGAAAGGAGAAATGTGTTGGTGTTGTCTATCCAGGCACACAATTATGACAGTACTAATTTTTGGACAGCTGCCAATTCATGTTTTGTTCTTGGTAACCCTGCAAAAAAATTTTTTTAAAGAAAGAAATTATGCTGCTTCTCCAAGAACCTGCCTAATGCAGCTTACAAAATAAAATAAAATAAAAAGATTAAAAGGTATTCATTAAAATCCAGCATTAAAAACCCAGCCCAGCAAAGAACCACAGACAATAAAAACAGACTAAAATTGTGTTGAGAGGGTAACAAGACTTTGTAGTATCATAAAGAAAAATCAAAATGGGTAGCCGTGTTAGTCTGTCTGTTGCAGCAGAAAAGAGTAAGGGTCCAGTAGCACCTTAAAGACTAACAGATTTTGGGGCAGGGTGTGAGCTTTCGTGAGTCATCACTCACTTCTGCAGACACAGCTAGAATGTGAGTCCATCTGCCCCATAGACTGGCAAGTGGAGTGACCTCAGAGGCTGAATGACATCAGCAGGCAAATGACACTAGGTGTGATTGGACCAGGTGTGACATGCTGGGACATTCAATTGCTGATTTAGGAGTGGCAGTTATCTTACAGGGGTGTTTCGGGGGGAGATTGGAAAGAGTAACTGCTGGATTGCGACTAATGATAGTGCTCAGGATGGTGTGTCCATCTGGATTGGGTTGAGGCTTGGGTTTCCTGTCTCATTGCTGGTGCTTGTTTCTCCGTGCCCCTTGCCTCTCTGCATGTTGCACCTGGTCCAATCACACCTGCTGTTGTCATTTGCATCATGGCATCTGAAGTCACTCCACTTTCCAGTATATGGGGCAGATGGACTCACATTCTGGCTCTGTTTGATGAAATGGGTGGTGACTCACATTGTAGCTGTACTTAAAGAAGTGAGCAGTGAGTCACCAAAGCTCATACAGGGAAATCAGGGAAAATTCTGCATAGGAGTGTTATATTAGTCTCCTTTGAGGCTTCTGAAATGTGAAGCATTGGCTTTTTAAAGGTGGGATTCTAACCTAACCTGTTTGCTTTTTCCATAGGTTCTTTTTTAGATAGTACCTCACCACTTTTGGCAATAGCTGCTTGTACAGTAGGAATGCCCCTCTGCCCATCCCTAATGAAGGTACTGGTTTCACAAAGCTCCATCTTGTAGAAAGCTTACTAGCCAGGATTCCTTCTGGCAAAGAAACTAATAAGGTAAGATTTATTGACAGGTGTGCTTTAAAAACAAATTTTATCCATGTGAAGCAGATTCCAATAGTCGTTCTGTGGCAAAAATTGAAGCTTACAAAACTGTCAAAAAAGAAAAGGTTAAAAATTCAATTTTTATACCAGTTTGTCACATTTTAGTGCAAACACAGCTACTAATGATACATCTACAATGAAAGTACCTGGATGATGTCACATTTTAGTGCAAACACAGCTACTGATGATACATCTACAATGAAAGTACCTGGAAATCAGCATAAGCTAGAAGGCAGCTTTTGACCAAATCAGTTCAGTTCTGAGTTTTGACAGACATGGTAGTGTAGGCCATTGGAGTTCAATCCGGAATGCTTTTGAAAATTCAGTCTAACTAATAGTGGTGGTTAGTTAAAGGGATGTATTTGAGGCTGGTTTTGAGTGGGATTTCTCACAATAATTATCCCAGGCTACCTTTGTAGTGATATCCATGTCCCACCTTCATGTTCTTCTTCAAAACCCACATTTCCTAGCCTGAATGCCAACTGAATATCCACACATTCATATCTTTCTACTCTTTTCAGTCATCACTTTGTTGCTGTCCATACTTTTGAAATGTAGTTCGTAAGCTCCTCAGAGCATTAGCCTGCCTTTTTAACTTGCATTACTGTGTGAAGTGCCAAATATAGGGATATGACTATATAGATAATTATCCAGGGCTTTAGCAAACTGAGCATTTCATGTTAGAATGAAATAACAGGATCTGCCTACAGCCTTACAGTCTACTTTTGCATTGTGGTAGCGTTCAGTATGAAGGAACATTATAGAAAGATACAACGTTCACGGTTTGGACAAGAGATCAGATGTGCTCCCTAAACCAGAATTATATTTAAACCGCAGTTAGCAATCATGGCTAAGACTGGGTTTGCAGGCTGATTTAAGCTGACCATGTTTAGCATTAATACTTATTGCACACAGAAATACATGGCTGTCACCAAAAATGGGGAGAAGGGGAAGAATTCACACATAAGGGGTGTTGAGAGAATACATGAAAAGATGGAAGTAAATCAGAAATGTTGTATTTGTGTTGGTTTCTTACACAGCGTTTATAGCTAGTAATGTACATTTGATGTACTTTAAGTTCCTTTTTCAGTTGTCTGCCATGTTCTAGTAGGGAAATAAGGTTGTCTGTCTCTTTCAGATGAAAGAACGAGCTATACAGACACTTGGTTACTTTCCTGTGGGAGATGGAGACTTTCCTCACCAGAAGCTACTCTTGCAAGGACTAATGGATTCCGTAGAGGTAATGATGTAATACCATGCTGCATACATTAAGAAGGGTTGGCCTAAAATGGGTACATGGTACTGTGTCCTGCCCTTTAAAATGCAGCTTTAATTTTGCTTTTCGTGTGTTCTGGATTTTGTATATTTAACAAGTTAATGTAGAAAAAAGTAAGAGTCCAGTAGCACCTTAAAGACTAAGAAAATTTGTGGTAGGGTATTAGTATTCGTGAGTCACTGCTCACTTCTTCAGATACAGTAAATGTAGATGTTTTGAAGGAACATCATCAGCTGTTTAGAGTTTTAAGGTTCTGATTTTGCTTCTTGGTTGAGCCAGGAAATAGTGTTCAGATCTATCCTCTTTCCTTCCACGTTCCACTCCCCGTGGCACTGTGCCTCTTTCTTTTAAATTGTTCCTTGGATTCACTAAACAGGTTTCTAATCCCGTGTACTTCTTCTCTTCTGAAGCCAACAAGTAATAATTAAGTAGCATTTATGTATGCAGTACTTTCTGTGTTGACAGCACTTCATATATATGATTACAGAAAAGTGCTCTTAGGACTGCGGCCTTTGGCACTGTGCTTCATCAGCTCCCAACTTGTCTGCATTTGCCTCTGTTCAAACGGTTTGTTTCTCTTCAGGGGTCTTTCTTGCTCTGAGAAGTTATCTAGGTGGAAAATCCCTGCCATTTCCCCCAAACCACATGTGAGAACTGTGAAGTTGTATTGGGGTGGGGGAGACTTGGCACTGAAGTGCAGTTGGTTTAAATGTTAGAAGGAGTTGATGGCTTCTTCTGAACAGCTTTGAATACCTCATCCAAGAAGCCTTTGCTACCCTTGTTCCTTTGGCATTCTGTAATATCTGGAGCTGGTGCCTTGTCTAAGGAGCACGGTCAATGCTTTCCCTGCTTTCTCTTTCAGGCCAAGCAAATTGAACTCCAGTTCACTGTTGGAGAAGCTATAACCAGTGCCGCAATAGGAACCAGCTCCGTAGCTGCCCGCGATGCATGGATGGTAGCTGAAGAAGAGTATACCCCTCCGGCTGGTAAGTCTGAGTGTGGGAAGATCTAGAAAAGGTTTACTCAGTCAGTTGTGTGCACAATGTTTTATCCCCTTTTTTCTTCAATAAGTTACAGGCTGATATCAATGGGAGCTAATGGCCTCTGTCACCTGCCTCAATCCTACTGTCTAATCCCAAATGTTTCGTACCTTTCCAGAAGTAAGCTTGCATTCAATTCCATGTCCTTACGATAGTGCCATGGAGATTTTATTTACGATTGATAGGAGGAAAAAGCTGGAAATGAACATTTGCCAAACATCCAAATATATGTATTTGGGCCTTCCAAGTTTGTGCACAGGAGCAGGTGATAGGTTAAGCTTAATTTTCACTTTATAAATTTGCACTTGTGGTGAAAGAAAATCTGGTTAGGTGAAGGTTGGTTTCAAGCTAAGCATGGGTTTAAGAACTGGCTAAAGACTGAGTGATTTATTTTAAATTGAGCATTTGAATATTACTTTGGGTAGTGTTTTTTTAACTGTTTCATATTGCACCTGATTTAATGAATCTTTAAGCCCATGTTCAGTTTTACTCAGGGGCAATAACTTAAGCTCACATGCTTTGCCTCATCAAAGCCCCCTTTCACCCAATGTGCAAATTTGCAAGCTGCCAACTCGGACACAATCAAGTTCTCTGCCTTTTCTTGTAGAAGACAGGGGACAAAAGGCACACAGTGGCCTCAGGGAACAAGGTAGGCATGCCACTCTAGCGTGATCCAGCCTCACCCTTTGGGCATGTTTGAAGCCCCTGTCAAGAATGTCCTCAGCAGTTAAAAGTGTTCTAGACTCCCAGTAAGAACATAAGAGACGCCAATGTTGGATCAGGCCAAAGGCCCATCCAGTCCAACACTCTGTGTCACACAGTGGCCAGAAATACCAGGTGCCATCAGGAGGTCCACCAGTGGGGCCAGGACATTAGAAGCCCTCCCACTGTTGACCCCCCCCCCCCAAGCACCAAGAAGACAGAGCATCACTTGCCCCAGAGCCCTACCTTGTGGCTAATAGCCACTGATGGACCTCTGCTCCATATGCTTATCTAATTCCCTTTTGAAGCCGTCCATGCTTCCAAGAGTATTCAGCTGCTCAGGTCCTAGATAGCTCAAGCCTGATTTATTCCCCCACTATAACTCCTGGAAAAATGTTGTAGCTTTTCCTGTGCCTGGTTAAAGGCATCTCGGACAAGGGTCATACCACTGAATAACTTGGAGCCTAATAAGTGCTGATCAAATTCCCCATTTTTTCCCCTTTCTGTAATAATCGTGTCTCAATTCTCTCTCCCTCCTTCCCATTTCTTGAATTGCAATAGATGTGAAAGTTAATGATGTGGTTCCTTGGGTCTTGGATCTCATTCTGAATAAACATATTGGCAGCCCCAATCCTCACATACGACAGGCCGCCTGCATCTGGCTCTTGTCACTGGTGAAGAAGCTGAGCACGCACAAAGAAATTAAGGTAGGAAGATGAGGCGATCTCTCTTTTTATGTTTGTTCCGATTCGGTTTTAAGTGTCTTTTTTGGGTGAGCTCTTCCTGCTGTTTTCCCATTTCTCATCTTTTGTGCCTTTCTCCCTTCTATATTCTGGCTTTCTGTTGTTCTTGAATTGTTGTGTATTGCTGAGCAGAAACAGCAGAGGAAAGTTTTGGCCTCTGCGGACAAGCACCTTTCCCCAAAACTCAAGTGACTGTATGAGGCAGTGATACTCTGTGGTTTGGTTAAGGAGCCCTGCGTGGTTCTTTCCTGCGGCTCTTCTGAGCGTGGTTCCCTATTCCCAAAACTCAAGTAACTGTATGAGGCAGTGATACTCTGTGGTTAAGGAGCCCTGCGTGGTTTTTTGACACCTGCGGCTCTTCTGAGCGTGGTTCCCTAATATGGCTCCTGAAAAATGGGGCAGGGTAGGTGGGTAAGGCCCTTGCCCCGTGGGGCTTGTTTTTGACCAGTGGTTCCCACCTTGAAACAGCCATTGCTAGGAGAACAAATAAGCTGGGAGCCTCCCTTAGATGCAGGCCTCATGCCAGGTTTGGAAGTAAATGTTGCTCTTTGGGTTGATTGTAAATGTGACTGCAGCTGTTTACAAGCTACCACTGGTATAAAGGGATGAGTTGCTGCCTCTTCCCTTACTGTAGCTGATGGCTAATGCCACTGAAGAACTCACATTTACACAGTGCTGAATATCTGGCATGTTTTCCTAGAAAATGCTTGCACTTTTTGGCACTTGCGTGTTCAAATCTTACAGAGTGAGGTCAACTCTCTTTCCTTCAGTGGCAAACAAGCTGACTTGGACGCAAGTGTTGTTCATCTTTGGACCTAGTCAGATACTGGCTTAGTTCTTGTGATTCATCAGCACAAGGATCAAGGGATCTTGTTCCCCGCTCTCCCAGCAATTCCATCTGATCCTGGGAAAGTCGATTCCTGGGATCACAGGACCTATGTGATTTAATAACCAGGAGGGTATCGCCCTCTTAGCTGACAGAAGGAGGAGTAGAGTGCAACTTTGCACCCTTCTCCCTCTCCACTGCAGTCTCCTGGCCCACATAGTTGTCACTGCAAGTCCCATGACCCCAGAAATTAACTTTCCCAGGGTTGTTTGGACCTATTGCAAGGAGAGGAGAAGAAAGGAATGATCTGTGGCTGTTGTTGCCTCCTGCAAAATCTGTCCACTACGATCCCAGGTGGAAAGTATGTACACTAACAGGAGGTCCCTTGGGTGTCATCAGAACTGCACATATATGGTAATTGCCAAGCCTGGCTAAATGGCATGTGGATATACATGCAGGACCTCATTGCTGAGTGAACTGCTCCCTTCCCTTTCAGACTGAAGATGGGATTTGGGGAGTGGGAAAGTTTTCAAACATGTATTAGGAAACAATGCATTCTGACTGTATGAATCGACAATTTTTTTTAAAGGAAATTTGTCCTAGAATTTGCACCCTTCTCCCTCTCCACTGCAGTCTCCTGGCCCACATAGTTGTCACTGCAAGTCCCATGACCCCAGAAATCAACTTTCCCAGGGTTGTATGGACCTGTTGCAAGGAGAGGAGAAGAAAGCAATGATCTGTGGCTGCCGTTGCCTCCTGCAAAATCTGTCCACTACGATCCCAGGTGGAAAGTATGTACACTAACAGGAAGTCCCTTGGGTGTCATCTGAACTGCACATATATGGTAATTGTCAAGCCTGGCTAAATGGCATGTAGATATACATGCAGGACCTCATTGTTGAGTGAACTGTTCCCTTCCCTTTCAGACTGAAGATGGGATTTGGGGAGTGGGAAAGTTTTCAAACTTGTATCAGGAAACAACGCATTCTGACTGTATGAATCGACTGTTAATTTTTTTTTAAAGGAAATTTGTCCTAGAATGTAAGACCTCTTTTTTGATTGTTTGTTTCCTCCTCCCCTCTTGTAGTCTCATCTCAAGGAAATTCAAAGTGCATTTGTCTCTGTTCTGTCTGATAGTGACGGTAAGTAGAACTGCATTTACTGATTTTGCCTTTTGACTGAAACATGCCATTCCTTATCAGAAATGCAAGTAAACTTCAGGTATTGAAGATGGGAAGAAAAAGTGACATTTAATGCAGTTAGTTATTTTACTATTTTAATTTCGGTTTGAACTTATTTTGGAGACGGTGAAGTTCGATACTGTGTTAAGTGATACAGAATTAGATGTTAACTGGTGCATGTTGTTCCTGGAATTCGGATTTAGAATTCAGGTTACAGGTTTTATCCAAAGTTGATCCAAGTAAATAATTGCTTAAAAGTTTATTCCCAAATTCAGCCAACAAGTTAATTCCCACATAAAATGAAACATGTATGACATTTAGCAGTACAATAAAATATCCACTGTAACATTAATGGATCCCGCTGAGCATTAGTCATCCTGAGCAAAATGTGTTTTTGAAAAATGAGCTATTCAAATACTAATATTCTGTGTTTTAATTCGTCATGAGGGGGGAGAGGTGTCAACAACTGTTGACATAATGTTTTCAGTGACTAAATACAGTGAAATAGACAATAGCTTTTGTTGGGTCAGTGTCTTAAACAGAGACCTTAACTGGTCACCAAAGCCACAAGTTATATAGCATGAAGTGGGAGGGGGGATCATTAACACAGTCAAAGTTGCTTTGAAATTTTTTGTTGCTACCAGTCACTTGGCTGAACATCCAAGTATAAAACCAAAAACTGACTTACCCCATCAGGTGTAGAATTTCAAAAACTTCATGCCCTGTTTATGCTTCTCCTGTGCTGTGGCTGTCTAGGATTTTGCCCCAAGGGAATTCTCTGTGTAAGCATTAGGGGGATAGTTCTCAGAACCAGGGAGCATTCCCTTTCATTGCAAAAGAAGAGGAACCCTGACCTTACTCTGGAGAAAGGTGGACCAAAAGTAACCTAAATAAACACATATGGAGCTTCGGAATCTGCCATATATAGGGCATCCTAAGCAGAAGTCAAAGGTTTCTAAGCCCATTGACTTCAGTGGACTTTGGGGGGGTATAACTGCTTGGGATGGTACCACCAGTTTTCTGACGCCACTCTCAGAAGTGACTATAACACGTTCATGTTTTAACCAGTATATTTCTGTGTACTACTAATGCCTTTCCATTTTGGCTGATGAAGAGCACTTGAATAATTTGCTGTCTCTTATATCTGTCCCTGGTTTATTGTTCCTTTCATTTCAGCCCTTCTCTTTATCAGTCCCCTGCTCCAGAGGTGGCACTTAGCCAGTTCTAGAAAGATGCTGTAGAATGTTAAATTTTGACAGCTTTCCAGAAAGAACCTGAAAGCTGTTGTGGTTGCCTTTAGAATCTCTGAGCTTGTTTCAAGAGTTTCTGTAATTTTTTTAAAAGAACCCTGACTCTTGGGCCAGTTATGAATTCAGTAACTTGTAATAATTAAATATAATACAGTTTCTTATTAGTAATCAGGTTTTCTGGTATGTTTCTTCTAGAACTCAGCCAGGATGTTGCCTCAAAAGGGCTTGGTTTGGTATATGAGCTTGGGAGTGAACAAGATCAACAGGAACTGGTCACTACACTTGTTGATACTCTAATGACTGGCAAAAGGTATCTGTATATTTATTCTTTGCGGGGTTCATGCTTGGAAGGTGTGTGGGGATGAGGGAGTGGCTGAAGCCATTTAAGAGGCGGAACTTTGAACATAACCTCTTTAAATGTAAAGGTTTGTTGGGTGGTGCTCTTAAATATATCAGTAGACACTTAGTCTGTAAGAATAGGGCTGATTGGTAACTTCGTTGGTGCCAAGAATCATCAAGTCACTGGCTTTAATTACTCCAACTTTGAAGTGGTTTCCCATTTTAGACTTCTTATTTCAAAACCAATGTACTTCTGAATGGTTCCAGATACATGAATGGGTATGAAACCCAAAAATTTATTCTGAACAGTGCTTCCAATTGAACGTTCACTTCCTCACCCCCTCTGCAGTAATACAGAGACATTGTAATGTCATAAGGATCTAAAATTATTCCCTTGCAATTTATATCATCTCAGTAATCTAGGGTACAATGTGTTGGGGAATTATGTTGCTTTATGATTTTTAAATTTATGAATAATTTAATCTCAATCTATACGTACATATCATAACTCTTAAGTTTCTCAGCACCAAACCTCCATTAAAAACTTTTTAATAAGTCAGATCATATACACTAATGGAGCAAGTTTAAGCTTTCATTTATATAAGAAAATGATGCTTAGGTTCTGTATCACCATGTTAACCAGTAAGCATAGTATATAAGATTAATTATATACTCTTGTATGTTTTGATATCTGATATGAATTCATGTGTATTATATTATTTTTCTTTCATATTCATGTTCTCACATTGTTACTATTGTATTAATGTTATTATATATTTATTATTTTAATAAAAGATATTTAAAACTTTTTTAAAAAGTCACTGGCTTTCAGGATTTTGCACATGAAAGCACATTTTTTCTTTCCTTCTTAGAGTCAGGCATGAAGTGACTGGGGAAACTGTGGTGTTCCAGGGATCTGGCCTTGGCAAAACTCCAGATGGGTAAGCTCAGTGATAGAATAACATTTTTGGATTAACTGTTTCGGGAATCCTTCCTGGATCTTTTTTCTCAAGCAATAATTCCATACATTCTGAAGCTTTTGAATTTTTCAGGAGATTTTACTGTGGATTTCCCCCCATTAGCATTGTGGGTAAAATATTATGCTATTGTGGAACTGTTTTAACTTAACTGCTCCACATAACTTATGTCCAGAAGATAACTTGGATACAGTCGATAATAAATGTCCATTTCCCCCCCTGCAAGTCCTCCCTCCAAACGTTACATCCAGTTTTGTTTTCTTTTTTCCCAAGCCAGGGTCTCTCTACTTACCAGGAGCTTTGTTCGCTTGCTAGTGACCTCAACCAGCCAGACTTGGTGTACAAATTCATGAATTTGGCTAATCACCATGCAATGTGGAACTCTCGGAAGGTAATGCCTCTGTAGCTGTTGCAGAGCAAATGGCAGAATGAACCAAACAGGGGCAGTGTAAAGGGCTGGGTCCCAGGGAAGATTTCCATGGATGGAAGGGATTTCTATACCTGGACTGTGACTTCCTTGCCTCCCCTGTAGCTCAGATTGCTGCTCTTCAGGGAAAAATGAGCAGATACACCCCCCTGGAATAGCATGATGGGAGAGTTGGAGGTCTAAATTCCCCACCCCAGTGCACAGAATTCCTCTGTGGGATCCAACAAAATGTGTGTATTCAGAGTCACTTTTGACCTCCTGTTTCTGAATGGTGGGCTGAATCCCATCCTCACAGAATCTAAGGAAAGGACCAAAAAGTCTTCCTATCAAAGACCTTATGGCAAAACTATTGTGATTCATACTTAAACGTGTTCCCGTACACACTTATCCCCCAAGGTCCCTGTAATATACAGACCTTTCTACACATCATACTGATGGGGATTTTGTTATTATTGAATATTTTATATCATCCAGTCCCTTCCACGTAATCTGTGTAGTATGTATATACATTAATCTAAATGATACTCATAGTGGTTGGTTTCAACAATGTTTTCTATTGTTGTGTTTTCACAGGGAGCAGCTTTTGGTTTTAATGTGATTGCTACCAAAGCTGGGGAACAACTGGCTCCTTTCCTCTCTCAGTTGCTTCCTCGTCTCTATCGTTACCAGTTTGACCCCAATATTGGGATTCGGCAAGCTATGACCAGCATTTGGAATGCTCTAGTGACAGACAAATCCGCAGTAAGTGAACAAGAGGAATGTCCATTCTGGTGTTTTGCATGGCTGGAGATTCTTGAGGAGGAGGAAAAAACCTGTTTGGAGAGGAATGAGATCTGCATATGCGCACACACATATTGAAAAGTTGCCTGGCTCGTTACGTTTCATTCTTTGACCTTTTTTCCCCCTGATTAACACTTTAGAACAAAATATGGGTAGTACTTTATGTATTCTATGCTAAAATTGCCCTTACCTAAAATTGCCCAGGCTAACTTGATCTCATCAGATCTCAGAAGCTAAGCAGGGTTGGCCCTGGGTAGTATTTGGATGGGAGACTTCCAAGGATAGCAGGGTCATGACACAGAGGCAGGCAATGGGAAACCACTTCTGAACATCTCTTGCCTTGAATAATAATAGTAACTGTGTAGGAAAATGATCAGCTTTTATGCTTCAGGTATACTGTCATGCACATGTGACTGTTTCATTGTATCATCACGTGACTGGCTATAGCTTCCCATCTTTGATGTACAAGGCAAAATGTGTGTTTCCCACATATGAAGTTGTATATAACTTTTTGTACACACAAGCACTGTTGATGTAGGGAAATCATTGTGAAGAAGCAGCCCTGAGTTGTTTCTTCTGTTTGACACATTATTCCTTGGTGGTCTCTTCTTTTTGTATAGAGTTTCTTAGATCGTCAACTTTTATTATTCACATGGAAAGATTTTGGAAGAGCTAATTTGTTTGTTACGTTTCTCTGCAGTTGTACTTTGCAGTTGGCTCATTATGTGATATGTACTGAGTTGTGGCTTTGGAGACAGTGATCATTTTACAGTTGGTTTCCTTCTTTTCAGGTAGATAAATATATGAAAGAAATCCTTGATGATTTAATAAACAACCTGACCAGCAACATGTGGCGGATTCGAGAGTCCAGGTATTGCTGAAACTGTTTGCTATAGTTAAACAGTGTTGCTTTGGGAAAGTTTTGAAAATGCACATGTAACTTTCCAGTATTAGGTTTTTAAAGTTTTTTTTAAAAAATATATATAACTAAGGGATAGAAATGTAAGAAAAGAGAAGACAAAGATTCTTGAACTGGAATGTATGCCTACATCCCACTGCAAAAGTGGTTAGTAGAGAAGAAGGAAAACTACACATATTGAATCGGCTAAAATTCAGATGTTGACACTGAACACTAATGCTTCATTAAATAAGCTGCTCTGTAAAATAGGAGAAAAAGGGCTGCATGTGGAGTTTTCAGGGTTGTGTGGGTATTTCTGAGGCTTCCATTTTTACTGCATCTTCCCATGCTGCCAGGCAAAAACCTACCCCCAAAACTTTGAGAACCCCTGAAACAGTAGGATCTGGGTAAGGGCATGTGGGTATGGAAGAAGGAGAGGGAGTGAATGAATTTAACCATGGAACTTGCTAGGTGACTTTGGGTCTGTCACCTTCTCAGCTTTCCCTGCTTCACCTTGTTGTTGTGAGGATAAAACTGAGGTGGTAAGAACCATGCATACTGTCCTGACCTCTGTGAAGGAAGGGTGGGATAGAAGTGTTCTGTCTAGTTCAGTAGCTGTCATCAGAAGATGGAATTGCAGAACTGCTGGCTGTATACCTTTGAATTCCAGCTGCGGAATTTCAGCTGCTGTTGACTGAACAATTAGTGAGACTCACCTGGATGCATAATCAAAGCATCCACTAGAGCCAGCGTAGATCTAACAGTCCCGTTCTCTTAGTTATAGTTAAAAGCTGCAGGATACCATGCTTCTTCCCAGAATGACTTTGCTGTTACGTCTGGGCTGGCCATAGCACAGGGTCCCTGAAAGTCTTCCCTTAGAATGTGAGGATGGGGATCAGGTATCCTAAGGTCAGTTTTGATAGGGAGAAGGAATATTTAAAGTAGGCACTAATATAGTGAAAGTGATTGGGGCGGGGGCTAAAAGAGAGAATGAGGGAGTGTCTAAATGAGCGAGTGTCTAAAGGTTTTTTTGTTTATTTACACCTTTGATATGTTTATCCCACCACTCCAAGTTTGCCAGAAGCCGTTCAAAAGATACAACAATAACATCTAGACTTACTCCGTAACTTTTGAGAAAACTACCTTTCTCTTTTGATTGTTGAATTGGTCCAAACTATACATTACTACAGAATAACAACAACATTTCTTTTCGCAGCTGTTTAGCACTGAATGACTTGCTAAGAGGAAGGCCCTTGGACGACATTATTGATAAGCTTCCAGAAATCTGGGAGACTCTCTTTAGAGTGCAAGATGACATTAAGGTACTTAAAAATAAAGCTGCTTTTTATAGGGGAAGTTGTTCACCCTCTCTGCAGGGAATATAGGTCATGGCCTTCAAAAACAGTTCCTGACTAAAGTCTTGATAGGGTTGCCAAACCTCCCGGTTTGCCAGGGGTCCCCCGTTTTGGAGGGGGTTCTACCCGCCGCCGGCCAGATGGCCGGCAGGGGAAGTCCCACCCCCAACACCCACAGCCACCCATCTCTCTCCCTTTAAGTGTTTGGAACCCATGTTTCCTCCCAAGCCTGATCTCCGCAAGCTTGCAGGGAAATGCCAACTTTGTGCTCTTAAAAGGGAAACGTGGCTGCTCTTAAAGGGGAAACGCCGGCTCCTGCATTTAAAAGGGAAACGCCGGCTCCTTTAAGTGCAGCTTCGGAGATGCCCCGCCTCCTCCAGGAACGCCCCCAAAGTCCCCTGCTGGGGGTGGAAGATGGACTTGGCAACCCTAAGTCTTGAATATTTCCCTTCTTCCAATACAGTCAGTGGGTGTATCCCCCCTCCCCATTACAGGGCTAACAGACGTTTTGGTGGGAACAATCTAGGTCAGAGGGGGAGGGGCTTGGGGTTATGCCTGTCAAATTCAGAGCTGTATTGAACTAAAGGCATGAAATATTTATTTGTATATGTATACTATGCGTTTCTGTCCAGTGGGGACCCAAAGCCGCTTACAACCCTGTCCTCCCATTGTTGGGAAACCCAGTCATGGATCTTGTGCATAACAGGTCATTTGTTTCTCAGTGTATTAAAGATAAACAACCTGCCATGCTGAACTTTGTGTTTCTTGATTTTTGAGGGGTGCTTCGGAAACACTGGTGGATTGAGTAATACTTGGTAGGCGCAGGGTCTCAAAAATCTTGTTTTGCGCAAACATACACAATTGCAGTAGGGTTTCTGCCTGTACAGTAGTTTGTTGATGAGTTTGAAGCTGCACTTGGTAAAAGAACCACTAGGATTCTCTGTCTTCACATAAATCCTGTTCTTGAAACAACCCCTTTTAGTTTTTTTGTTGGGTTCCACAGGGTGGGAAAACATGTACTTTATATAAGCTGCATGTAGGCACCCCCTATGTTAATTTATTTTCATTGGAGTTCATTTTGGATCCTAAGGTAAGAAACTGGAGCGAAGCAGAAAGAGAATGAAACATGTATTATCATAAAGTGACTGAAATTGTTAAGCAAAACCAAATGCATCTTCCCCTCTTTTGTTTTCCAGGAATCTGTTCGAAAAGCAGCTGAATTAGCCCTGAAAACTTTAAGTAAGGTAAATTTTAATTCCCTCCTTATAAACTAAAGCCACTCCATTGCCATCAGTGGAATTTCACTAATGCAATTCCTCAATATAACCCAGAAGGATGATAGAGAGATAGTACCAAACCGTGGTCTGGCGACGTACGAATGAGTCCTGTGCTTGCAGGTTCCCTCCCTTCTCCTTGCCCGCTTATTACAGTGATTTGTACTTTAGCTCGGACCCCATTGTTTCACGAGACATCTGAACTACCAGCCTCTTGTTTGTGCATCCCCTCCTAATCAGACTGATTTGCAATCCTGACCTGGAGGGAGAGTACTAGTTTGGGGACTTGGATGTAATGCCAGATTGTGGTGGTGTGGGCCTGAGTCGAAGCTATTAATTGACTTGAGCTCCGTGAAGGGGGGAGAGAGCTTGTGAGCACAGGGCTCATCCGCATGGCATTGAATCGTGGTTTGGCCTTCCATCTGAACCATCACACAGGGACATGAATTTTAGTTCAAGAAGCTGGGGGTGTTCCATTTGAGCGTCTTCTTTTTTTGTTTTGAGGTATGTGTGAAGATGTGTGACCCTTCAAAAGGAGCTTCAGGCCAGAGGACGATAGCTGTTCTGTTGCCGTGCCTTCTTGATAAAGGGATGATGAGTACAGTAACTGAAGTACGAACCCTTAGGTATGTTCCTTGTTTGCCCGCCTCACAGCTTTGCCCCCCCCCCCCAAGCTGGGGTTGAAACACTTACCATGGAGAGACCATTTCTAGCCCTTTCTCAGCACCTCATGGCAAATGGCGGCTTTCTTGTCTCTCTCTGCTGCTTCAAATGTGAGAATAAACTGAGCTGTGTCAGAAGAGGTTGATGTGAGTGGGAACCAGTGGTGGCACTGAGAGAGGTTTAGAAGGGGGTTCTCAGGAATCCCTGGGCATTACCGCCACTCAGAGCCTTCTTAGTTCTCGTGGCTCTTTCTTACATGGCCAGGGAAGTGCTGATCACCACTTTGGGGTCAGGAAGCACTTTTTCTCCAGGCCAGTTTGGCCAAGGATCCTGGAGGGTTGGGGGTTTTGGGGGCTTGTTTTTTTTGGCCATCTTCTGGGCATGAAGCAGTGGTCACTGGGGGTGTGTGGGGGAGGTAGTTGTGAACTTCCTGCATTGTGCAGGGGGTTGGACTAGATGACCCTGGAGGTCCCTTCCAATTCTATGATTCTACCCGTGAATGAAGCTCCATGTAGTTCTTGAGAGAGATTTTATGTTCTGATCTCTCAGGGGATCTGTTTGTGTAATCCCGGTGCATGGAAAGAGTTACGTTGCGTGTTAATTTTTTATCTGCCTTCCCCCCCCCCCCCCCCCCTGTCTTTCTGCTACAGTGTTAATACCTTGGTGAAGATCAGTAAAAGTGCTGGGGCCATGCTAAAGCCACATGCTCCCAAACTCATTCCAGCTTTGTTGGAATCACTGAGTGTGCTGGAGCCCCAAGTATTCAACTACTTAAGCCTTCGTGCTACAGATCAAGAGAAGGTGAGTACAGATGTTGAACCTTGCAATGAAGTTTCATAGCTTCCTATATAGGTAAACAAAAGCAGGCACCAGTGGTTATGTGTCAAGAGTTTTTTTCCAAGGCCCAAACACAATGTGCTGATGGGTTTATAAAATCAGCTGTGGAAAACTCCACATTATCATGTAGCCTTATTTCAGAATGCCTCTTGAGTCTGAAAAGGGCATAAGATGCGTCTCAGGCATTTCTGAGTTTAATGCTTGATTTGAGATAACTCCCATTGATTCTTTTTTAAAAAATCCTATTTTTGGGACCTGTACTCCTCAGGCTTTCTAGGGATTGATAAAATGACCCTCCTTCTTTTCTGTTGAACAGGTTCACCTTGACCATTGGGTGCCTTTCTAACTCTAGTTTCTAACTTGTGTGATGTGTGTGTGTCTTTCAGGCTGCAATGGATTATGCAAGACTCAGTGCTGCTAAATCCTCTCTCATGATGGAAACAATCAATATGGTAGGTAGCTTAGTTGAAAGCAGGGGCCTCATTTCTTAGTTTAAAGAGGTCCGTAACAGATTGTTGTTGTTTAATTTAATCCTTCAAATGATAGCGATAGGTAGCTGAGTATGGTATATTTTTATTCATGCTTCTCCTTCAGTGGGGAAAGTCATCTAAACGGGCTAGGTCATGCCTCCTCTCACTCCAGGAGGTGGTGGTGTGACCTAACCATTTTGGATGACTTCGCCCCACTGAAGAGAAGAAACCTTCAGGTAAGTCCAGTGGTTCATTTTGTGTGGGAAATTGAGCCTGCTGTTGCTGGAGAATAGCAGAAAAGTGGCATAACAATGCTGCAAACAGTCTGTGGTAGGTTTGTTTCCCCCTCCCTGTGTCTTACTGTGGTAGGGACCCAGGGCCGGCCCCAGCTTATTTTGCACCCTAGGCGAGGATCCCTTCTGGTGCCCCCCCCTCCCCATGTGCCCACCATGGCTCAAACCCGTTAATTGGATCTGTACCCCGGACCTCCCGTTCCCCTGGCACCCATGCTCTTAACACTCGCTTTTGCTTTTGTAACTTTGCCTGCTTTGCACATCTGGATTCCACCAAGGAAGACTCTGCAAAGAAAGGCACTCGCAGTCGCAAACAACCTCTGCTTCTCACTTGCCTTGACAGTTCTTTGCTGGGGTTGCCATAAGTCAGTTGCAACTTGAGTGTCCTTATGTATTAGCCCCCCTACTTAGGTTCTTCTTTGACTTAGCTGAGTGACTCTTCTGTGCCTAGAGGGCTACGTTTTTTGGTGGAATTGGCGTCTGTATCATCAGAAAGATCATAACATGTTTAAAACTCAGTAGTGTTTGCAGCTGAACCAGGACAGCGGGGTGGGGGTGGGGGGGCGGGTGCCAGTTTGGCGCCCCCAAGGGCCAGTGCGCTCTAGGCAAGTGCCTAGTTCGCCTAGTGAGTGAGCCAGCCCTGTAGGGACCCAACTGTTCTCTAGATCTCCCGGAGGAAGCCCAAGGGGGGAAAATAGTCCAGTCCATCTTCAAAGAAAAGGAAGCAGATGTTCTATTTCTGCAAGCACCCCTTGCTTGCAAACAAAGGGAAGGGCTGGGGAGCTGTACTGCATGGATGTTCCTCCTCCTCGCCACTTCCGCATTGTAAAACTGGACCACAGGAGGGTTGAAAGAGCACCGTACAACTTTCTGGCTTCAGGTGGTGTGATGGCAATAGTAGCTAATCCAGGGAATGTGAAACCGAGGCCTTCCTATAGGACTGAGCAGCTGTGTCCTCATTCACAAGGAGGCTGAGGTCTAGCGCTGAGTTTCCATGGTCTATGTCTTGCGCACACAGAGGTCAAAAGGAATGCAGATTTTAAAAGGGGAGAGATCTGAGCAATTCTTCCTTACCTATCACAGTGCAATGACTAGCTCTTACACGAGGCATCTGAATGTCTTTTCTGTGCCCAAAGCAGCTGCACTTAGAGAGCGGCTGAATCAATCGCTATATATAGCTTATAGAGCATTTCTACATAGAACACCGTGTATAAAGTGGGTGTGTTAATTCCACTAGAGTTCCAGCAGCTGCTGCTGCCCTTTCCCCTCTAAAGCCAGTTACTGGGTATATAAGCGAGCATGCTGCCAACTTCTACTCTTTTACTCGAAAGAATTAAAAGAACAACCCTGGTGCTTTGAACAAAGCCCAGTCAGACTTCTTTCTTTTTAATACATCCCCTATTTGTGAGGATTTTATTTATTTATTTGAAATATTTCTAACTCTGCCTTTCTGTCAGTATGGCTTGTTTTATGATCACAGGCATGAGAGAGACAAGAGCATCTATGCTTTTATGAGGGTTTATAGCGGGTTACTTTAGCAGGCGACTCTAGAGGGCGAAATTTCAGAAAGGCTGTTGAGAAGCTTTCCTCCTCCCTCCCTCCCCCACTTCTCTGCAGCATCATTTCTTTCCCTGCCCCCACCCCCCCCCACACCCCCCGATCTTTGCAGTGATGTTTTAGGAAAGATCACAGAAAAGCCCAGGTGGCACCCATTTGGGTGGGAAAGTTCAGATCTTCCCAGTCTCCTGCGGAGGCCGTTTTCTCCCCATTAGCAGAGGGCCTTTTTTGTTCTCTCTAACAAGCAAATGGTTATAGCTTTATAACATTGTAGTGATCTGTCTTTCAGGTTCACTGAATTCCCAGCTTTCATTTTTTAAGAAAGTAAAGTTATAGCCTGTTTTTGTTGCAGAAAAATACTTTCCCCCTTGTATCTCCATGATGACAGGGGATAGAGACTTATTTTTTTAAGAGAAATCTGGGAATTTTAGGAATTCATGATAAACAGATCACTATCTCTCCCTTATATATAATTGAGTAAGATGCAGCGTAAGACAAAATGCGCTCCGTCAGCCATTGGCTGGCCAGCTGTCGCGCAAGGCTGCTGCCCTGCCATTGGCTGGGAGGCGGGAGGCGAACGCTGCGTCTGAACGGTGCGGTGTCGGCGATGTGCCCCACGCCACGGCCCGATTTCCCTCCCCCACCACCCAGTTGAAGGCCGCCGGCGTCGGTGGCCATGAGCCACCCCCCCCGACTGTCCCCGCGACTTCTCTTGGCCTCGCCAGGAACTTAACACAAAGGTCAGTCTTGCAGAGTAAACCACAGACTGAGCTAAGACAAAAGGTTAGTAGTAGTAACAGCTTACTGTCCAAGGCAATAGATTTAGCCTTTGAGGTTCAAGAAGTCCAAAACCAAGAAAAAGTAAAAATATAATTTTTTAATTAAGTAATTGTGCAAGTTTAAGTAAAACACAAGACCTTAGGCAGTGAAGGAAAAATAACAAACACTAAGCTTCACCAGCATAGCTAATACTTACAAGCAGTTTAGTTGCAAAGGTTACTCGTTTCAGGTTCAAAAGTACAAGAGCCCAAGATGACAAAGATAGTCCAAACACATAGCCCATCCGGGTGGTATCAAAGCATGATGCCAATAGTTGGGGTTGCATGCAGTATTGACCAGACCAGGCCCAACACCCCAGCAATCCTAATAGTCACTGACTAAAGGCTTACTTTATAGGAATTAAGGTCTCTGAGCAGCCTAGGCCTTTGACCACTCATAGACCTGCAAAGTGATGTCAACTTTGCTCGTAACCAGGGTGACCATGATAGTCCATAATACTTATTTGTGAGCTGAGAGAATCGAAACCTAAATACAACTGTAAAGGTTCGTTGCTCCCTACACACAGGTGCTAAGTATTCTGGAATGCACTAATTGGCTAATTGCTCACAGGCCGGCACTGAAGAGCACAGGCAGCTGTAAACACTCAAGGACATTGAGCGTCTCCTTATCTCTGTCCCTAGGGAAAATTCCATGCACCTCTTAGCTTCTCATAAGCACACTCTGTGAGACATTTTAGGGCCTTACCAGGCTTGAAGCCTGAGCTAAAGAATTTCAAGCAACCTTTTAAACGAGCAAGCAAAAATGGTGTCTGACTTTCTTTACACTGAGATCCCGGCTTCCGTATTTCCGTGATACCCAAAGGGACAAATGAGACACTTGGAGGGAAGCCTATGCTTGGCAACCTGACCGCAGCTGAATAGCTGGCAAAGGCAGCCAACAGAGGTTTGCAGCAGTGAAATGAGACAGGAGGATGCGTCTGTTGCAGCCCTTTTAGGTTTTCAGCAGAGCATAGCCGATCCGTGTCTATTCAGCAAGGTGATTGGGGCATGCAAATGTTATCTGTTAATTTTTGTTGATGATTTGTGTTTCATATTCGACAGTGAATTTATTTACAGGTACACAGCTCTCACGGAGAAAGTGCTTCGCCAAGCAATCATATAGAAGAAGAAGCTCCAGTGTACAGACTATACACACTTATATACAGACATTAGCCAATCAGCTTACTGCTGAGTCACCCTGATACAGCTCAGCTTTACACCAGCCAGAACCGGTTTGGTCTGGTCACCTGGACTGTCATTCTCCCAGACACCTGTCATCTAGATTGGCATGATCTTACACATCACACATGCTGAATACTTATGACATTTCAACACCCTTCCCTGTCTATTGCTTCCCCCCCACCCCCCTGGATGCTTTGGTTCCAGTTGAGACTCTGAAACGTGTTTGCCTCCTTGTAGGGTAAAGTGGCTGAAAGATGGGGTGCGAGAGCAAAAGCAGCAGGCTCCCCCCCATAAGGCACACTCTGTGTCCCTGTGATATATGAGGGTCAAGCTAACAAAATAAGTTATAAAAATACAAATATTTATTATGGTGAACTCATTAGTAAAAGATAAAAGAGGTTAAAAGAAATGATCCAAATATCAGACTCTTAAAACTTTTTACACACAGAGCTGAAAGTTTTACATATACAATTGATGGATATATCTTATGACCAGCAGACCATATGCATTTCTGCCCCTCAGTGGTCAATATTACTATTGTAAAACAACACACATCCGGAAATAAATATATGGAAAAAGATTTTCTTTAGAGCCAGGTGTTGCTTTCTCACGTGATGTGCAATTGCTAAAAAAAGTATACATAGTGGGCCATGGATAATCTCTCATGGTAACTGCACATGCTCTCCAAGTTGTTCTGGTAACAAATATCCAGTGTGTTCGGATGTGTGTCTCTTCCCTCAAAGGTAGTAATCCCTCCAGTGCTCTGCAGCTTGTCGGCAGTGTCCCGGGTCTCCAGGGCCCACCTCTGCTTCCGTACAACTAGCTTGGCCCTAAGCTTTGTAGCAAGCAGCTTGTGTTCAACTGTTTAAAAAAAGAAAATGTCACCGGTCTTTGTGGTGCTTTAATTTTCACCCTCTGTTTCTCTGCAGTGCTTGCAGTATTTGGATGTATCAGTCCTGGGGGAGCTGGTGCCTAGGCTGTGTGAGCTGACCAGGAGCGGAGTAGGCATCGCAACTAAGGTAATGGCCTACTCTTCCAGGGAGGCAGCTGTGGGACAGTGTGCACAGACAGAACCACTCACAAAATATTCTCCAGTTCTGGCCATGCGATCTCTGTTTATTATTAACATACCTGTCCTACCTGTATCCCACCTTTCTGCCCTCCCTCAGAAAAAGGGGGTACAAATTGCCTTTAGTGTGCCTGTGAACTTAGTTCAGAAAGGGGGGGGGACTCCTGGGCGGTGACTGGAGCGTGCATGCCACACGCACGTCACCTGGAAGTGACGTTAGGACGCTGGGCACGCTGGGAGCGGGGCCACAACCATCGGAGGGAAAACCATAGAGTTTTCCCTCCAATGGTCGTGGCCCCACCCCCAGCGTGCTCGGCATCCTAACGTCACTTCCTGGTGATGCGCACGTCGGGGCGGGGTTCCCCTCGGGGCCTAATCTGCCGGCGTCGGGGAACGGGCCTCTGGGGCGGGGGTTTCCCTGCCCCTTGGGGGGACTTGGCAGCCCCACGTGGGCCCCAGAAGCAAACAAGTGTGCCCTGAAGAGCAAAATACGCTCTACACTGTATGTAGGTTCCACAGGTTCATATATATGTGAATGGGTCACTGTGAGGTCATCTGCAGGCTGTGCTGTAACATGTGGTGACCAGGTGGGCCTGGCTAGCCCTTTCCGATCCTAGGCCGAGAAAGCTCACAGAACGAGGGACCCCACAGCCCAGTCCTGTGCCTATTTTCTCTGAAGTAAGTCAGTAGGGATTGCTCCCAGGGGAAAGTGTGAAGCCTTGGAACCTGACCTTCACCCAGCAGAACAATTTTAATAACCGGATTTCTTCTCTCAAACCTTTTCCAGGGTGGCTGTGCTAGTGTAATTGTATCATTGACCACTCAGTGTCCTCAAGACTTGACACCGTATTCGGGTAATTTTTTTCTTTTCTTTTCTTTTTCATTTGTTGATTTTATGCTCTGCTCTTTACTGGGAGTGTGTTTCATCGTTTAATATCTGGTACTGTTTGTCTGAGGAGCTGCGGTGGCTCAAGTGGTTAAGACGCTGAACTTCAGGCTGTGGAAGGTCGGTAGTTCAGCAGTTCGAGACCCGAGTGTTCCGCATGACGGAGTGAGCTCCCGTCTCTAGTTCCAGCTCCTGCCAACCTAGCAGTTTGAAAGCAAGAAATTGCAAGTAGATAAATAGGTACCACTTCGGTGGGAAGGTAACAGCGTTCCGTGCGCCTTGGTGTTTAGTCATGCCGGCCACATGACCACGGAAATGTCTTCGGACAGTGCTGGCTCTTCAGCTTTGAAACGGAGATGAGCACCGCAACCCTAGAGTTGGACTTGACTGGCTTTCGAGCAAGGGAACCTTTACCTTTACCTTTTACTGTTTGTCTGTGCTGTGACAGCCTGGTTCGGTCTAACCACGAAAGGTGCCGCATTTTTCAGTCCGGGTAATGGGCAGCTGCCCTGACCTGGATGGCCGGATGTTATCAGAAGCTGCTAAGCAGGGCCGGCCCACAGTTAGTACTTGGACTGGGAGACCACCAAGAAAGTCGGGTGTGTGTGTGTGTTTCACTATGCACGGGCAGGCGATGGCAAACTACCCCTGAATGTCTTTTGCCTCGAAAAACTTCTGGGGTTGCCGTAAGTCCGCTGTGATTTGACGGCAGTTTCCATTCCCAGTGGGCAGCTCTGAATGTGAGCTAGAAGCTTAACTTGCTTCCGTCAGTGGCTTCTGGTTGAAAAACACAATCTTCACAAATCAGCCTTAGTTTTTGCTTCTTTCGTCTGGACACTAACCGTAATCCACCGTAATGAGCTATTGACTCTGTGACCTCCAGGTTGCAGATAGGCGTGTCTTCATTGTGTTTCATTTACAGCTGGGTTTAATGATTTTGCATGAGGTCAAGCCCAACTTAACGGAGCACAGATAAACTTGGTTCCTGATACAAAACAAGATTTATCTTTTATTATGGGCCAGCTTGTGAATACCTGATATAACTTGGCTATTACTAAAGACCTTTGCCATGACCTTGTTTATCGTCTTTGCAGTGCAGCCACTATTTTACAAGTATTTTATTTATTTATTTATCGATCACATTTATACCCCGCCCTCCAGGCCAGAATATTGATTGTTTTACTTGTACAGTAGGGGACAATTACCTAAAAACCGAGAGCCAAACTTAGTCCTCCAAAACTTTCCATCTGGCCCCTAATCCAAGTCCCTGATCCAAGGGTATCCCTCCTTTCTTAGGCACCTTGGCCACTTTCACCCAAGCTGTGATGCAGACAGAAGACCCTTTTTGGCTCCCTCTCTTGCAGCATGAACAGCCAAGGGGCTTTGGCAGAGTCCTCACGTTTGATTGTGTACATCGGCTGCACACTGCTGTGTAGAAGTTGAGATGGGGGGGAAATGGAAGCAATCAGCTGAAGTGGGAAAAAGAGAGGCTCAGACGTAGGACCTGTTGCTGCTCATCCTGGGTGGAAAGAACCATAAGTTTAATAAGGGGAAGAGGCTGGTGTGTGCAATGAGTAGTAATGTATCTTTCAGTGTTGACCACTGTTGTTGTTCAGACCCTCACACAGAGAGCAGTAGCTTAATGCAAAGGCCGTAGAACTCTTTGGGCCAAGCAAGTAAAGAACTAAAACTGGTTAGCAACTCATAAATTTATGACTGGTGTCTTTTATTCATGCAGGTAAACTCATGAGTGCTTTGCTCAGCGGGCTAACTGATCGCAACAATGTGGTACAAAAAGCATTTGCGTTCGCCATGGGACACCTAGTTCGAGTGAGTGAAACTTAGGTGCTTCTTGCTTCTGCTTCTGTGTGTTCACGAGCTGAGAAACTGACTCTTATTTTTTGTTTAAAAGACATCACGTGACAGCAGCACAGACAAATTACTGCAGAAGCTGAACAGCTGGTACATGGAGAAAGAGGGTATGTGCCTTTTAGGTTCAGTCCTGGGCATCTCCCAAAGGATCGGGGAGTGGGTCATGTGAAAGACCTGTGGCTGAGCTTTCAGCAAGCCGCTGTTAGTCAGAGGAAACAATACTGATCTTGATAGACAAATGATCCAACCCTGTATTAGACTGCTTTGTATGCTCAGTGAGCTGGTGTTAAGTTTGGAACCTAGGAATACCAGTGTTTGAATTTCATGGCTTAATCATAAACATTTATGCAAAGTTTTAGGTAAATCACTTGTTTCCCTGGTTCAGTTCCTTGTGCATGATCTGGGAATAAGAGTGACCTACTTTGCAGGATTCAAATAAAATGGCCGTTGCAAATCGCTTGGTACATGAAAAGATTCCACTGGTGAACAGCTTGCTTAGCTTCTCCCTCGTCCCCACCTAAAAAGCAATAAGGGGCATCCCTTTTGCTGAGTTAACTGTTGGAACAAAGAAAATGCTTGCAAAAAAGTGGAGGTAGATTGTCCTCCATTTATAAGCTAAGTTTTAGATCTGCTGAAATGAATTTCTAAGATGAATTGCTCGGGGCTTTCAGTAGCAGACAGATTACATCTAGCATTTAGATGTGCGGGTTCAGTGACATTGAGTTTAATCAAGACCAGTGATGAGGTTAAAAAGAGAGCAACGTTACAAGTCATCATGTTCTGCAAACTTGTTCTCTCTTACATTTCAGAGCAAGTCTATAAAACAGCCTGTGCATTAACTGTGCATGCTATTGGGCGCTACAGCCCAGATGTGCTGAAGAATCAAGCCAAACTGGTCTTGCCTCTGGCTTTCCTGGGCATGCATGAAGTGCCTGAGGAAGAAAAGGGTGAGAAAGAAGACCGGTGGACTGAAGTATGGCAAGAAAATGTGCCTGGTAAGGTGATCTGGTGAACCATGTGGTTGACACTGTGCTGCAAATTTGGCATCAAGTAAAGGGGATTTTTTTAAATTAAGTTTTAAAAATATACTTGCCTACATAGAGGCAGGAAAATGCTTTTAAGAACATAAGAACATAAGAGATGCCAATGTTGGATCAGGCCAAAGGCCCATCCAGTCCAACACTCTGTATCACACAGTGGCCAGAAATACCAGTGCCATCAGGAAGTTCACCAGTGGGGCCAGGACATTAGAAGCCATCCCACTGTTGCCCCCCCTCCCAAGCACCAAGATGACAGAGCATCACTTTCCCCAGAGTCCCTATCTATACCTTGTGGCTAATAGCCACTGATGGACCTCTGCTCCATATGCTTATCTAATTCCCTTTTGAATTCCCTTTTATTTGGGGGAGAGTTTAGATCCCCCAGTGTTCTTTTTTTTTGCTGTCAGATTTTTCTGAAAACCTAGGGGGGATCCCCCAAGTTTGCAGAAACATCTGTTTAGTGCAAGTGTGGCCCCAGTCTGCAGATTTAAATATTCTCAGATAGGGGCACACTTGGGAAATAGTATATAGATGATGATGTGGGGTGGATGTGTTCATAGTACATATAATTATACTTCGAGACCTAGATTTCTGGCCAAGTTAATGGTTCTGCGTGTGTGCTATAAAGAAAACAATTGCCTCCCCCAGCTCTTAAATACATTACTTCCTTTGCAATTTAAACTCGAATGGGCAAGCCTTTTTGAATCTTGCTTTTGACACTGACGTTCTCTGGGTGCTCTAAGTGAAATCTGAAATAGCTCACTTTTTTGTCCATCGCGGAGGCAGCACTCCTTGTGTCATACCTGAAGATTTTTGCGGTAAAGCAGAGATGTTCTTCTGAAACTGTTCTTTAACATGAACCTAGTTTTATTGCTCCTGTTGTGAGTTCCTGCAGTGAAAATGTTGTACTTTTGGTATGTAGGCACCTATGGCGGCATAAGACTGTATATGGAGGAGCTGATAACCATCACCCAGAAAGCTTTGCAGTCCCAGTCCTGGAAGATGAAAGCTCAAGGCGCATCTGCTATGGCATCTATAGCAAAGCAATCTGGCTCCTTGGTACCTCCACACCTGGGAATGGTGCTCAGTGCTCTGTTGCAGGGCTTGTCTGGAAGAACATGGACAGGAAAGGTAAAACTTCAGTCACTGTCAAGCGGATTGTGTGTGGGGAACGGTGGTTACTTCTGTTGTCCAAAAATCGAGGGGGGGAAATGCAAAAACTGTTTATTTACCCAAGAGTGGGATGAGTGTACACTGAGAGATTCTTCTTCCAAATTATCTTCAGTGCTGCAGAGGAAAAAAGTTGTATGTAGCTTGATGGAACTAGAAAAACAACCTGGTTTGGGGAGGGGGGGGGTAACAGAGAGGAGAAAGGCAGGATAAGAACGACCTTAGTTGTCGAAAGCTTTCACGGCCGGAGTTCATTAGTTGCTGTAGATTTTCTGGGTTGGGTGGCCGTGGGTCTTGGCACTGTAGAACCTGACGTTTCGCCAGTAACTATGACCGGCATCCTCAGAGGTATAACACAGAGAGAGGGAGTACTCTCTGTGTCAATTTTTCTGTGTTATACCTCTGAGGTTGCCGGTCATAGTTACTGGCGAAACATCAGGTTCTACAGTGCCAAGACCGCAGCCACCCAACCCGGAAAATCTACAGCCGCTAATAAAGGACCTTACTTGTTTGTGTGTGTAGCTGAAGTTAAAGGGGGCTGAAAACTACGTTGCTGTGATATTGGAATGATATTTGAATGATTTTGCTGATTCTTCCTGGTCTAGAGTAGTTATCAGTCCAAGAGATATATTTTCATGCTGTCGGGCTTTCTCACTAAAATTGTTGTTTCATATTTAGGAGGAATTACTGAAAGCTGTTGCCGGTGTCGTCTGTGCCTGCAGGTAAAGAAGTTGTCTTCAGCTAGCCTGGTTTGGAAACTTCTCCGCTATGTGAATGGAGTTCAGTGCTATCCCTGTATTCCTCTTGCATCCGGAGGGGAGATACAAACATAAGCTCCCTTTGACCAAGGCCCATTGCAAGGGACTCTTACTAGGAGACGTTTTTTTTTGGGGGGGGGGGAAATCAAAGCTTAAAAGAAAAGAACTGGGTTTGGAGGGAGAGATCAAGAAAGAGGGATTAAATAAAAGTGGTGAATGAATTAGTTCTAGTGAGTTTGTAAGAAAGGACAGAGAATGCTGAAACGTTGGAGGTGAGGCAGGGAGGAGGAATGGCTTGGGTGGCATTTGCCAGCTGTCTCAATGATCCGTAAGTAAGCATCCTATTCAGCGGCAATGAGAGTATCATCCTCATTTTATTTACCCCATTCTGTTTCAGTTGAAGTCACAAAGATTGTTTACTGTAGATTAAGGGTCTTCAGGATTGCTAAACATTTTACATTTCCCTAAAAATATGTGCCATTGGAATGTCCTCCTTGTAAAATGGCGTTGCTATAGCTGCCAGTACAGCCTGTCCCAAGCACACATATGCTGGTGCAGCAAATCTTAGGATGATGTTTTGTTTTAGAAAATAAAGTGAAAAATAACAAGAAAAAGGTGCTTTGTAGGGAAGAACCAAATAGACGGGAGAGGCTTAGTGGTAGAGCATCTGCTCTACGTGCTGAAGGTCCCAGGTTTCCCAGCCTCTCCTTATAAAAGGATCAGCTAGCACAGTGGTGGCGAACCTATGGCACGGGTGCCAGAGGTGGCACTCAGAGCCCTCTCTGTGGGCACGCGTGCCATCGCCCCAGCCAGGGCCAGACCATCATTAAAGTGTCGAATTCTCTGCCAAATAATTTTAAGTAAATGAAAGCATTTGGGATTGCTTTCCTTACTTTGTTTGGATCATCTTAAGTTAATGTATGAGTTATTTTTTCTAAAGTAAAACCTCAGCATTCAGGTTAAATTGCCGTGTTGGCACTTTGCGATCAATAAGTGGGTTTTGGGTCGCAGTTTGGGCACTCGGCCTCTAAAAGGTTCGCCATCACTGAGCTAGCAAATTATGTGAGAGACCTCTGCCTGAGATCCTGGAGAGATGCTGCCAATCGGAGGAGACAGTACTGACTTTGGTAGACTAATGGTCTGATTCACTGTAAATGTAGCTTTTATGTATTCAGGTCCTGGAAGTGTGTACGTATGTGGGGCAGGGCTGCCAGCTCCGGGTTGGGAAATACCTGGAGATTTTGGGGGTGGAGCCTGAGGAGGGCGGGGATTGGGGAGGGGAGGGGTTTCAGTGGGGTATGATGCCACAGAATCCACCTTCCAAGGCAGCCATTTTCTCCAGGAGAACTGATCTCTGTTGCCTGGAGATCAGTTGTAATCCCAGGAGTCCTCCAGGCACCACCTGGAAGTTGGCAACTGTAGTGTGGGGAAAGTGTGAACAGGAAATACAAAAGCCTATTTATATTAAAGGAAGGCAAGGGGAGAGAGTAGTGAACTCACATATAAGTTCTAAATGAAAAGCGGGACAGTATTTTATAAAGACCAATCAACATAACACAAAACAATGTGCAAACTTTCATGTTCATCAAGCAGTTTTCTCTGGACTAATGTGGTTATCTGTAGCCTCTCCCAGTGTTTTATTGTATTTTAAACATATATAAGTAAAAAAATAGTGTTCCCCCCCAAAAAAAAGTTTAAAGTACTTTGGTTGTATAGGGTCATGAGTATAAACAGTTCAGTGAAACCGTTACAACCCACAGACACACACCCTGTTCACAAGTAACAGCAAGTGCATGTATGTGTACATACAAGTCAATACATACATACAATAATAGGGATGGGCATGCATGACCCAGGAAAGTGGAGGTTCGTCTTGAGTCACTGGGCTGCATGAACCTTCACAAGCCTTCCTGTTCACCATACCAGTTCATTTTGTGAGGTTCGTGAAGCTGCCCCCAGGATCTGCGTGTGGTGGGGAGGTCTCTTGCCACCGCACACAGACCTTGCTGGGAGGCTTCTCCTACCCAGAGCTAGAAGCTGCCCCCTCCCCCAGATCTGCATGCAGCAGGGAGGTGTCCTGCCGCTGCACACAGACCTGGCTGGGAGGTTTCTCCTGCTCGGCGCTTTAAAGTGCCAGGCGGGAGAAGCTGCCCCCCTCCCGAATCTGCGTGCAGTGGGGAGGTCTCTTCTAAGCAGGGGGTAGCAAAAGGGATCACTGAAATGTCTTGCAGCTATTTCAGCCTAGCAGCTGATGGGCGCAATAGCCCAACTGTAAGGCTGAAATAAATGCAAGCCATTTCAGCGATCCCCCTTGCTCCTGCCCCGCTTCCCACCACGAGCCCCATGAACCTCCAAAAAAACATGTGGAGGGTCATGGATAGAGATGGGCACAAACCTCGGTTCATGAACTATGACATGGTGATTTTAATCATGAATTTAGGTTTGTGACAAGGTTCGTGCCCATCCCTAAGCAATAACCCACTGTGTCCTTTAAATAAAATTTTGTGTATATGTGTGTGGGGTGGGGGAGTTGGAGGATTAAATTAGACATCTGGGGCTTTCATAATTATCACATAACCTTCCATGTGCTCTTGGTGCTTTCAGCGCTGAACTACACAAGGCTGTTCCTAACCAGCCCAGCGTCAGTGATGTCCTTCAGGCTATGCTTAAGGAGTGCCGCAAAGAGAACCTTGGGTACAAGATCGTGGCTCTCCGGTGCACAGCTGATGTGCTGAAAGCCACGCAGGAAGATCGCTTCCAGGAGCTGGCAGACATCATCTTTCCAATAATAAAGAAGGTGAGCCTTCAGCCCTTCTTGGTTTGACGATGCCACTGATAATGGATGATTCTTACCCCCCTGAATATTTATTGTGCTGACCTGAGCAAGGCTGTTACTGGAGGTCATTAATTCATAGGGTCACCATAAGTCAGAAGCGACTTGACAGCACTTCACACACACGTTCTGGGTTTTAGATTTATTAATTTATAAGCTCCAATGTTTTGGGACATTTTTAATTAACAACAGAACTAGGAATTATTTCACAAACTGCCGTTAGAGATATGAGGACACTGGAAGTAATTCCCTCTTTTGGGAACATTGAAATAAACTCAAATGTTTCCTGTAGCATTAGATCCCTTTCCTGCTGCCTATGCATTTTTGGCTGCAAACACCCCACCCCCCAAAAAAAAAATTATACTGGCCAGGTGATTGGTGGTGGCTCTCTCACTCCAGTTGCTTGCTGTATCCCCCCCCCCATTTCTATTTCTCTT